GTGTGCCTCCCTCTTCAGTTACCCAAATCCTGCCCACCACCCCAGAGCCAGCTCAATCTCACCCCTCCACGACCCCGGAGACCCCCATCATACCACTATAGTCTAACTGTATAGACCCCACACTGGGCACACTACATCCGTTCATTACTGGCTGTGACATCTGATTATGCCCTTTTCCTCATCTGGAAGCTCTTGGACAATCATGCTCAGAAGCTCCATAACACGTGAAGAGAAGCAGTGCTGGTGTGGGAATGGTGAGATGTGTTTGTCCACCCAGCTGTCCGGCACCAGCACTGGTCTTAGCCTTCGAGGTAATGCATTCTGAGCCTTAGTCTGGAGAGAAAATAAAGAAAACTTAAGTAGTAAAAAGTGGCTGAGAAAAGCTGACCAAAAGCCTTTCAGAAGAAATGCTTAGTTATACCTAAGGAAGCTTATCTGAGGTCAAGGCAAGGATGAAGCCTAAAGGTATACATGGGGAAGAACTTCTGGAGAGTAGTGATTCCCTGTGCCCCTGTGTCTCCAGGAGGGCGTACACTCACCTTATTTGGAAATCTGTATAAAATGAGTGAAGTGTTCTATTTCTTGGGCAGTGTGGGCACAGGTCCCTGGAGAGGTTGGTGGCCTCCCAGAAAATCCTTCCTGCATCTGGTTCTGGGTCCTCAGCCACAGCTCCTAAGAGCCATGAGGTTTGAGCCCAGAATAATTTATGTGTTTTTTTTTTTTCAGTCCTAAAGTTTCCATAGAATCAAAGTAGTCAGAGCTGAATGGGGCTAAGAGATCATCTAGTCCTGTCTTCTCATCACACAGATGAGGGACTGCCACCCCTAGCCACAGAAACTGTTCCACGGCCCAAGTTCACAGACTCTTCCTCTCTCTCGTACAGTTCCAAGTTCATTGTGCACTCTAAATTAAGATGTAAATATAAGCAGCAACACCCAAGAGTAAAAATGAAGTGTGCATATGAAAGAAACCCATTCACATGGACCATATTACACTGTAATCAGTGTTTACTGCTTGGCTACCGTGTGCTTGGTGTAGCAAGGGTGTCAGTGAGGAAGAGAGACGAGGGGGTACAAATCTGTGAACTACACATGGTCCTTGCTCTCCCAGCCTCTCTCTCTCATTGGCCAGGTAACAGGTAAACACATGAAAAATCAAATAATGTTATGAGAGGAAAACTTAAGTTCAGGGCAACAACAGCAGGTTCGTATGAAGGCCCTTCATAATTGCTGTCCTACCTAGAAACTGAATGACAGGGAATCAGAGTCACAAGCCATGAAGTCTAAATGGGCGAGGTCCCAGAGAAAGACTTAGTGCAGTAGGTGGGGTTGCAGCCAGCCCTGGGAGGGTGGGAGGATGACATCCACATAGGCAAGAGAGTGATAATTCACACACACCGCTCCTCGCTGCACATTGAACCCTGCTAACTTCTGGCTTCTCTCCCGGGAGTAACTGCGACTCAACATTCTGACCTTATCTCTAGGGTAGCAGAATGACGGAGAAGGAGAGTTTCTTTTTGCTTCTCACAGGAGGTTAATCACCCATCTGGAATGACTACATTTGGTTGACACCGGCTCACCCTACCATCTTCCACCTGAACCATTCACCTAAATGTGCCATTTTTTCCCTATTTCTCATTTGTCCATGTGCATTGTGTGTGTGTGTGTGTGTGCGTGTGTGAGACATGCTGTCACCGGGTGAACAGGCCACCCTGGGCATGGTTCCATCTACAATTTTGAAGTTTATTTTCCAGCTTCTGAGCATCATTTGCAATTACAGTGCTGTCATACACAGAAAAGGAATAGGCTAATTAATCATTGTCAATACTGGTCCCTATTTGATGAGATTTTGGAGCAGGATGGCTGGGAATAATTGGTATAGATTTTATTTCCTTGCTTTATATCACTGAAAATATTAATTTAGCATCATGATTGCTATGCATAAATATCCTGGAAAATAGGGTACAGTTGAATAGTGCTGATTCATTCATTCATATTCAGCAAATTATGTACTAAGCACCTACCTCAATATGTGAACAGCACTAAACTCAGAATATTTGCCTGCTGGGGGCCTGTATTAGCCTCCATGATTCCCTGAACTTGGGCAAGACCCTTCTGATCAGCTGCAGAGAGGCACAATGGATAGTTTTGCTTCTAGAGAATGTAACTGAGACATTCAGCATTATCTAATGCCTTGAATTCCTCTAGTCAGCTGGCTATCTCATGGGTACTCAGAGCCCTATGATTACCCAGATTGATGGTGCACCCAACAGGACTTTGCATTTATGAGCTGATAAGTCACAGTCACTAGCTAAGATTGATCTGTGTGACACCAGAATGTGTCTCTACCTAAAGGGAAGGGAATGAAGGGTAATGTCTTTGGTCACAAATAAGACATCTCCAAATAGTTTTTCACGAAGGATCTAAGTGGATTTTGTAACTGAAGAACAATCTACGCTCATTGTTAATCTTGAGAGTATTTCTGTGAGTGTATTCAAGTCAGCTCAACAATTTAACATTCGCTCTAGGGGGTTGTGTGCTAGACCCCATCATGGGTTAAGTACTGCTGGCTGGGGCCCAGTCCAAGGTCGGGGGGACTTGCCAAAGACCACCAGGAAAAAAGGGAACCTGAGCCCAGTAGCTGAGTCTTAGGTTTCCTCCTTTAGAGATGGTGAGAGTCCTCTCAGCACATCCAAGCACCTCACAATGTTCCCAGTCATCAGATGCATTTTCAATTCCTACTTTGTAAAAATTATGTTCTCTATTGATGCTGACCATAGGACCCTGGCTTCATCTGCACCCAACAGATAAAGCCTGGACTTGTGCTTATAAATTAAAGCTCCCCACCTCCTCTTGGCTTCTCTGTACCTGAATATTCTTACCCATTCTCCTTAATGTGAATGTGCATGGGAGCAGGACCATTTCTCAAACAGTAGCATCAGTGAATCCTGTGGAAAGTCAGTCCACATAGAATAATTCGAATCAAGTGTTCAGAGAAATGGGGTTTCAGAGCAATTACATTTTCCAGACCCTTCACAATTCAGTGGTGTAGGTATAACCAGCCTTGAGTTGAGACCTCTGTAATATCCATCTTTAACTAATATTAATATTGCTGTGGATGCAAAGCAACTGATCACTGGAGGGATTTCGACTACCTCCAGGAGTTCACGGGTAACAACAGTATCTGAATAAGGACAGGTGTGGAGCCCACGTGCAGGAAGCAGGTGAAGATCTTTCCGTGAGTCTCCTCCAAGGGAACTGGATATTGATACAACTACTGTTTCAGAGTTGACCCTTCAGGAATCATCAGTCTTCACCAGCAGTTTGTTATATCTGGAGGTATCTCATAATTCAAACAAAAGCTGACAAGTTGTAACACTGAGCACACACTGGCTTCTGCAACAGGCACCGTCCACTTCCCATCCCCATTCATCCAGCTTGCCCCTGGCCTCCTCCCGCTGGCCTTCCTGGGTGGCCCCCCAGCAGGTACAGCTACCTGGCTAGCGCCCCCTCTAGCCTACCTCAGTTGCTCACCAGCAGTCTCCTGCCTGCACAGCTTGTCTCCCTAACCAGATTGGAGGTTCCTTGGGAACACGGCAGGCTCAGACATTCGTTCAGCCCATCATAGCACCATCCCATCAATAACCCCTTCTTAGTGACCCTGGGTTAGTAAAATGAGTGTTGCTGAAATCCTACTAAGGCTGATTCCCTACAGCTGGGCAGAGGCAGCGAGCGCTGGCTGGAGTTTCCTGTGAAAATGGACAGTGTCTAGAAGAGAAGGAAATGATGCATGGAGAAAGTTCCAGATATCTGTGAGGAACACGAAGTGTTCTGTCCACTACCCTGCTTTTCCTCTTTGGCCTCCCCACCACTGGAGGAAACCCAGAAGCTGGTGCAGGTAGGGAAAGCCCTCTCTCAACTTCCTAAGACCTTGCCCAAGAAGGGTGGGTCCTGGGAGGCTGCCCTTCCCCAGAGGCCTCTCCTCATTTGGGGTTTCTTGAAGACAGGCACTTGGACTGCTGCTGGAACCAGGCAGGCCACCCATCCTCAGGGGCAGTGGCTGGTCACTCACCAGACCTCCCTGCATCCCCTTTCTCTCTCCGCCCCCAGCACCCAGCACGTGCTGAACCACACAGCCACAGATACTGATCAGGATTAGGGTATAGGTGCAAATCCCTGGTCCACCAAAATGGAAAAAGGAGCCAGTGAGAACATGTCTCCACCAAGACAGTGCTCAGTACTGGTTCTCCACGTGGCTCCCAATTCAGTGCAGGAGAAGCAGGGATTTTTGTCCCCGGGGTGGGTCATCTCCTGAAGAAGGCACCCCTGGTCAGGGCAGGCTTCTCAGACCCTGAGGCACCGGCCATGGCCCCGCTGAGATACAGGAAGGGCCCCGCGGAGCCTTGAAGTCGCTGAGGGGAGGAGCACAGCCGGGACCCAGCTCCGTGTGGCTGCGGCTGCGTCCCAAGTGGGCCCCCATCCCCTAGGCTCTTCGAGGGGAGGGGACCCTTGAAGAGAAGAGAAACAGAAGACGGTGCGGTGCGGAAAAGCAAACAGGCCAGGCCGGGCACGCGCCCTTTGGACCTTTTGCAATCCGGGCGCCCTGCAGCCTGGGCCTCCTATAAAAGGGGTGCGCGCGCCGGGCGCGCATTCTCACCGGGGCCTGCGGGGCTGAGCTGCCCTTCTCGGTTGCTGTCCCCGAGGAGCCCGTCCAGCCAGCAGGGCCGCGAGGCCGAGGCCAGGCCGCAGCCCAGGAGCCGCCCCACCGCCGCCGGCCATGGGCCCGCCGAGGCCCGCGCTGCCGGCGCTGCTGCTGCTGCTGCTGCTGCTGCTGCTGGCGGGCGCCAGGGCGGGTGAGTGTGCGGGCGCGCTGCGGGCAAGGAGGGGGTTGGCTGGGGCAGTCCAGGGCTAGGCCAGGGGGAGGGCAGCCGCAGGGGCCAGGGCGAGTTGGGGGACTGGACCAGCTGGCGGCCCCTGCAGGCTCAGGATGGTGGGCGCGGGATGGAGGGGCTGAGGTGGGGCGCTCCGGAGCCTGCCTCCCTCCTAAAAGGTGAGACCCCTGCCGGCGGTCCTCCCTGTCGGGCCCTCGCACCCGCTGGGAAGACGTGGGAAGCTCACAGATTTCTTTCTCTGTCTTACAGAAGAGGAAGTGCTGGAAAATGCCACCCCGATCTGTTCACGTAAGGCATCTGCGTATGGGGCGGGGAGGGGCGCCCAGCCCCGTAACCCTCCTACACCCGGGTCCCTGAGGACCTCTCACTCTACAAGGCTGAGATGGCACCATGCTGTGCCTGGCTCTGACCCCAGGAAGCAAGTTCCTTGAGCCGCTGCGCACCCCCAAGGGATGCCAACTCTATTCTACCTGCCCTTCGGTGCTGTCCCAAAAGTTCAGCCTGGGGGTGGGGAAGGGAAGGGACTGTCACTCCGTTGACCTGGGCACGCTTTGAAGAAACATCACTGTCCTATTTATCAGTGACTAGTCATTGATTCGAAGCATGTGAGGGTGAGGAAATGCTGACTTTAACCTCTGTGCAGAAGTCAGACCTCCACCCCCTTCCTATTTACCTGACCCCTGGGGATCAAGGGAGCTGGACCCGAAGTGGCATCCTGTGCGCTGGAGCGGCTAGGCGGGCTTCTGATGGGGCAGCACCGCCATCTGGTGGGCATCTGTCATCACTGCGGCTGGGCTCAGCACTCAAATGGTTTTTTTCTTCCATTGTTCAGGAAATTTCTCTCAAGCACAGTGGAAACCTCCAGAAACTCCTTTCTAGCAGTTTCTTAAGTTAGTTACGCCTGATGCTTAATTGAACTTTGCCTCAGGTATTTGGTAGTCTCAGAGTCACGGAATTACCACGTTTTCAAGTTAAAGCATTAGAGATAGTACTATCTATTCGCTTTACGTTGTCATCTCTTAATTTACCAGAGGGTCTCTTCTGCAGATTTTCTGAGCCCCATTACTTGACACTTGTCACTCCCTTCCCTGTGCCCCAGATGATATATTCAAGACATGCCAGCTAATTTAAACATTAGCCTCAGCAAAAACATAACAGAGAAGTCAAATCTATAAAGGCAAATTAAGTATAATGCAAAGTCAATTAAAAAATAATTTGAGTTTAATTACCATTTTTAATATCTATGTCACTGTCCCTCTCTGCCCAGAACTGACTGTCCTTGGGAGAGCTATTTCTGCTATGTGGCTGACATATTTCTCCCCATGTTAGGAGATGCAACCCGATTCAGGCACCTCCGGAAATACGTGTACAGCTATGAGGCTGAGAGCTCCAGTGGTGTCCCTGGAACTGCTGATTCAAGAAGCGTCACCAGGATCAACTGCAAGGTATGGAGGACACGGGCAGGAGGAACCTGAAGCCCACAGCTTTCCCCTATCCCTGTTCCAGCAGGCACCCAATACACGACCTTCCCGGAGGTTGTATACTGAGTAAACACAGAACATCCCAGAACTGTTGTAATCTCATCAAAGTGCTGGAATTTTGCCTCTGTAAGTCTGACACACTGCTGAGATGTTGTCTTCTCCCCAAAATTTCGCAAGCCAGATCTATTTTCCCATGAACTTCCCAGATGCAATGGGAGTACATCATCTAGATTAGCAGCAGTGTGAGTCTGTAGATTTCAGCATGCGAGAAGCCCAGCAGGTGAGCTAAGGGAGGTGGGCATCTCAGAAATGCACTGTGAAATGCAGTTTTTATAATCTACGTCAAACAGAATCCGTTGCTAAAAAATGGACAGAAGAAAGAATATAAACATGCAGTTTGTTCTAAAATAAAACTTTACTTATTGAGACTAGTACTCATGTCACGTACATCTGGAGAAGATCTACAGGTTGCTGTAGGGATTTGGGTGGGGAAGGGAAGTCAGGCTAAGTGGCCTTCTTTAGAGAGTGCTGTAACTCTTGTGTGCTGTCCAATGTGCTAGACATGAGCCACATAGGGCTATTTAAACGGAATGAAATTAAAAATTCATATTTGTTGTCACCTTAGCTGCATTTCAACTGCTCAACAGCCACCCTGGCTGGTGGCTCCCATGTTAGGAGACAGCACAGATGTAGAACATTTCTATAAACTTATCTGAATAGTGCTGGATAATAAATAGGCATCCCTTGAAACTCCCACTATATGTGAAACTCTAACTACGCCTTGGTAGATATAACCAGTTTTTTCGGTGACATTAAGGAGACATTTGCTGTGGAAACTAAGGATGGTCATCTTCCTGCTTTCTCTTTTTCTTCTTCACTCTCACTCCTAGTCTACAGCGCTTCTATTTAACCACAGCTCTTTATAATTAAAGTGAGTAACTTCAGAACCAGTAAAAGGACATCCTCCTTCCTGTGCATAGGTGCAAACATAAGAAACGTGTTACCCAGGAGGGGAAAAGGCCAGCAATAGGACGAAGTCTGGGTTGGGGCCGAGAACCCAGGAGGCATGTTGATAAGGCCTGTGGTGTTGAGGAGCAGGCAGTGGTGTTCCCCAGCGGCACCCTATCTGGTGCTCTGATTAGAGATTAAGCCCTGGGCTTCAGGGGCCGCCTCTCATTCTTGATAGACAGCCTCAGTGCTCTGCTACCCTGTCTTCTCAGGCTGAGCTGGAGGTTCCCCAGCCCTGCAGCTTCATCCTGAAGACCAGCCAGTGCACCCTGAAAGAGGTGTATGGCTTCAACCCTGAGGGCAAAGCCTTGCTGAAGAAAACCAAGAACTCCGAGGAGTTTGCTGCAGCCATGTCCAGGTAAGGCGTGTTGTAGTGGGCACACGCATGCGTGTGTGTCCACTGAAGTATGAACCTGTGTATTTGCACCAGGCATGGATGTGACTCTAAGTATTTCAATTCCGTATTCACCATGGATCAGGAAATGGCTGAGTTTTCACAATCATCAAAAAGAGAGACGCATTATTACCCTTCCCGAGTTAGGTTCCTTTAATTATCATTTAAATGTGTTTCTAAAAGATCCCATGCTTTAAAGTTCTTGAGATTCTAAAACTGAGATGGTTTGTTTAAATAAGTGAATTCTTGTTTAAAGAATGAACGAGACTGGTGCTTGGTAGTCTTCGGTGTGGGGTCCCAGAGGGACTGGCTGCTGCGGCCTGCAAATGGCAGGGCAGGGTCTGTTCAGCACAGGGCAGAGGAGCACCAAGGCTTCAGTGCTTTCCCCTCCTGGACGGGCATTCCGCCATTGCACGCTAATCGGCCGCTGCAGCTGCAGCTGCATCTCTTCTGACTGATCAGGGCCCACGTCACACCCACTGCAGATATTTCCAACATCACCCCTGCCTCATCCTCAGTCACAGTGTGTAGGGTCCCAGGTGTGGGTGAATACAGGCGGGGTAGAGTTGCTGATTTGGCAGCATCAGAAAACTCCGCCAATATTAGTCTGTTTTCATGCTGCTCATGGAGGCATACCTGAGACTGGGCAATTTACAAAAGAAAGGTTTATTGGACTCACGGTTTCATGAGGCCGGGGAGGTCTCACAATCCTGGCGGAAGGTGAGGAAGGGCAAGTCCCATCTTAGGCAGAAGGCGGCTGGCAAGGGCGGCTTGTGCAGAGAAACTCTCGTGTTTAAAACCATCAGATCTCGTGAGACCCATTTGCTATCGCGAGAGCGGCACAGGAAAGACCCGCCCCCATGATTCAATCACCTCCCACGGGGTCCCTCCCAAAACACGTGGGAATCATGAGTGCTACAAGATGAGGTTTTGGACGCAGAGCCAAACCATAACACCATCCTTGCCCATTTTTAACTTTTGCTGAACATGAGATTCAGATGCGGGTCCTTTCTCGCCAAAATAGGCTGTGAGGCTTCTTTCTTTCATACGCTTTATTTTCTCTAAGACTCAGCTGTATATGACGGAGACGGGTATGGTGGCAGGAGGAAGGAGTGGTTATTTTTTGGTCCTTGCTCTTCTCGAAACACAGAAGAGACTCCTGCTCTTGACATGGAGGGCTTTCCAGGTTTGCATCTTCACCACTTTAACTGTCTTTTTATTAATGGACATATAATAATTATATGTATTTATTGAGAACACATTGATGTTTTGAGGCATGTGAGGTATGGTGATCAGATCGGTGTAATTGGCATATCCATCATCTCAAACATTTATCCTTTCTTCATGTTAGGAACTCTCTGAGAGGGTGTAGGCTGTGGGAGATGAATCCGTCTCCTTTTCCTCCTGATGCAACCAGAGTGGCTGCAGCCAGGCCCTCAGAAACTCAGAGAGTCCCCAGTGGGAAATCCCTAAGACCAAAGTCAACATGGGCTTCAGCCATGGCCAGACACCATGCAAAAGAGTGACTGATCAACAAATATATGAAAAGAAGCTCCAAGTCACTGGTAGTCAAGAAATGCAAATTAATGTAACAACAAGGTTTTTTGTTTTTTTGTTTTTTTGTTTTGAGATGGAGTCTCTGTCCCCAAGGCTGGAGTGCAGTAGAGTGATCTCAGCTCATTGCGCCCTCTGCCTCCCAGGTTCAAGCAATTCTCCTGCCTCAGCCTCCCGAGTAGCTGGGATTACAGGTGCCCATCACTATGCCCAGCTAATTTTTTTGTATTTTTAGTAGAGATGGGGTTTCATCATGTTGGCCAGGCTGGCCTTGAACTCCTGACCTCGTAATTCACCCGCCTCAGCCTCCCAAAGTGCTGGGATTACAGGTGTGAGCCAACAACAAGATATTTATCAGCTTATACCCATCAGCCTGAAAAACTGGAAAACAGTGATAGCACCTGTTGAGGCAGGCCAGCGAGGAAAAGCGTGCTGTTGTGAGCTGCTGGTGGAAATGGGAGCCATCAGGCAGTATCTACTCTAATTTAAAATACTTAATTCCCTTTGAGACAGTTATTTTAGTCTCTGAGCCTTTAGCCCATGAAAATGAAAGCAGTAATGTGTGAAGATAGACAAACAGGGATGTTTGTTTTGGTATTGTTTGTGTGGTCAAAAAAAAATCCAGAAAGAGAGAAGGCAAATGCCATCAAGTGGGGCAATGTGTGAGTAAATTATATCTAGCCGTGGAAAGGAATGTTCTGCATGCAGCTTTTAAAAAAATCTGTTAGAGCTATACCAAGTGACTCAGAAGGATTTTTGTGAAATATAATTGAGAAAAACAAGATAAAAGTATGCACAATACAATGCCACTTGTATAAAGCAATGACAAAACCTTTGTATGACTGTGTTTGCACTCAGCCATGTTTACAGATGATGGTGTGAGTGTGCAGAAACAAATGGAGCAACCACTCAGGCGCCCGTATCGGGGAGATGGGCACAGAGACTGATATGGGTGGAGAACAGAGTAGGGCTGGATGAGCCAAGCCAAGATAAAGGAAAAACAAAGCTGGACCTGGTGGCTCATGCCTGTAATCCCAGCACTTTGGGAGGCCGAGGTGGCCGGATCACCCCAAGGCAGGAGTTCGAGAGCAACCAGGCCAACATGGTGAAAACTGTCTCTCCTGAAAATACAAAAATTAGCTGGGTGTGATGGCAAACGTCTGTAGTCCTAGCTGCTCCAAGAGGCTGAGGCAGGAGAATAATTTGATCCTAGGAGGCGCAGGTTGCAGTGAGCCAAGACCGTACCACTGCACTTAAGCCTGGTGACAGAGCAAGACTTGGTTAAAAAAAAAAAAGAAAGAAAGAAAAAAAGAAAAAAAGAAAAAGAATCACCAAAACATATATATGTGTACATACTTTTTTGAAAATGTATATCTATGTGTAGCTATATTCTATATTTACAAATAAATTATGTCAGAAGAACAATTAGTTAAAAATATATATAAGGAAAGAAACTTTAGTACTACCCAACTTGCTTTCAGTTGTAATGGAGAAGGACGTTTCTGTGACCACCCTCTCTCTGGGACAGGTATGAGCTCAAGCTGGCCATTCCAGAAGGGAAGCAAGTTTTCCTTTACCCGGAGAAAGATGAACCTACGCACATCCTCAACATCAAGAGGGGCATCATTTCTGCCCTCCTGGTTCCCTCAGAGACAGAAGAAGCCCAGCAAGTGTTGTTTCAGGTGAGGATTTAGAAAGCTGATAGCAGTGGCCCTTGAAACTCATCTTCATGTGTTAGAAGTCCCACCATATACAAAGCAGATCATGAGTCAGCTCCATGGCTAGTTACACAGGAAGCCCTGGATTGCCATGAAATACTGGTGCCCAGGGTTCCTCCTGTCCCTTGGGCTTACTGACAGATCATCCCAAGCATGCTGATCAGGTTGGGTCTAATTTTAAAACAGCTGTTGAGGAGTCCTGACCACCCCACCCCTGCTTTTATTTGATGCTGTTCACCTGTGTTTACTGGGTTATGGTGTAACACAGTAAATCCCTTGTATATTTTAAACACCAAAAGTAATGGGATATGTTGCCAGTCTCTTTTAAGAATTTCAGGTTTCAATCTGAGACAGAATTCATTTCACCTCAGTCCCATGAGCACTTTTGTGCCCGTATCTTGTTCTAGTTTCTATGCGACACCATACTTGGAGAAGACAGCGACGTATCCTGCAGAGGCCTTTCTGCAGACCCACCCTTAACTGGTTTTCCCTCTCCCAACTTGGGCTGGCCAGGCACTAGCAAGAACACACTCTGCATAGGAGGAAAAAGAAAGTCCCTCCCAAAGCTAGATTCCTTCTGCCTTTTCTCCCAGGATCCCCACCCCATCCCTCCCAAGAACCTAAGGATGTTTCCCATGTCGAATGCACATGGCTGCATCTTCTGCCCCATAGGAAACCGTGTATGGAAACTGCTCCACTGACTTTACCGTCAAGACAAGGAAGGGCAACGTGGCAACAGAAATTTCCACTGAAAGAGACCTGGGACGGTGTGATTGCTTCAAGCCCATCAGCACAGGCACCAGCCCGCTTGCTCTCATCAAAGGCATTGTAAGTCCCACGTCAGCACTGTCATGCATACCAGGCAGCATCCTCTTATTAATAAAATTCCAGAATGCTTGAGCAAGTGGAGACCTTTGAGGACAAGTTGTCCAGCCTGTTTGTTACACAGACTACAGATAGGACACTGAGCAGGCATGGGAAGGACTGCCCAGGCTTCATGACCTAGGATCAGTTGAGCCAAGACTTGAGTCAGGCTCCTTCCTCCCAGCCCAGAGCTCTGTCTTTCCTCCTGTCCTTCTGTCACTGGCACCAAACCACTTTAACTCTCATCGCTTGAGAGTAATGACTGCCCATTCCTGAGAAGGCTCCAGGGCTAGGCATAGGGAAGCAAAACCACCTACTGTTCCTTCCCGCACAAGGACTCCTTGTGCCAGCTTCAAGCCTCTGGCCTTTGAAGAAGTCCCAAGACCTTTGTTCTCCTCCTCTCCCTCATCCCATGAAGGGGAGTCACTTAAGAGTGCTCCAGCTTCTTGTCCTTTCACCCCAAGTACCACCCCGACCAAACATGGCCCCTCTGCCTCTGGCCCAGAACACCCTCTCCTCTCTGTTAACTGGGGCCATGAAGCACCATATTACCTGACCCCTGCAACATCTTCCAGATATGAGCCCCATGCTGTCTCACCAAACATGAAGAACTTGAGTGGTCACTGTCATGCCTGGCATTGTTCCCGGTCATTGTCCTTGGGGCTGAAAACAGGGAGTCTGATGACCACAAGGGCCACAGTCAGAAGAGGATGATACACTGGCTTAGGGGTTGTTTCTGAGCATCTGTTATGTGCTCAACCCCACTCTGGGCAGCACCGAGGAAGGGACAGTGGTAGATGAACCATAGACCTTCCCCTCAGGATGCTTCCAGTCTAATGTAAGAGCCAATAAGGTATACATGCTATACTCAATAAGGTGATAAGCTGAGCAGTGCAGGCAAGAAGTCCTGGGCCTGACCAGGAAGGAGAAAGTATTATTCATGTAGCTGAATGGGCAATGTTTCATGGAGGATGTGAAGCAGGAACCTGAAAAATATGAAGGATGTGTAAATGAAAGAGACACGTAAGAATGGGCTTCTGGGCAAAGAAAACTTACTGAGCAGGTGTATGAGGGGCTCTGTGGTGAGATAGGCATGTGGAGGATAAAAGTATAGACTTTGTCTATTGGGGATGGAAAAAGAGGAGTCTACAGCTTGACTCAGCTTTGGGGATGTTGACTTGTTACACCCCCTGGTCTAAACGTCAGGTACCCAGTTCCCTTCTTTCTCTGAGTTTATCTAGTGGTACAGGACTCCTGCTCCCTTCTACCTTAAAGGTAAATGCTTTTGACAGAAGGCACAGGGACTGATCAAAACGCTTGCCTCCAATCTCATCCACAGACCCGCCCCTTGTCAACTCTGATCAGCAGTAGCCAGTCCTGCCAGTATACCCTGGATGCCAAGAGGAAGCATGTGGCAGAAGCCATCTGCAAGGAGCAACACCTGTTCCTGCCTTTCTCCTACAAGTAGGTCACCCGATGCACCCCTGATTTGTCATTTGATGGGTCAGTGAGAGCTGAACGCTTCTTAAGTGCCCTGTTCAGGCAAAGCTGTGCCTGGGAGGGTGGTATGGAAGGGGATAAAATGCAACCCATTTCTGTCCTCCTTTTTAAGCTAAGAGGCCATTTGGCAGAAAAGTCCTAGGCATGCAAAACAATCCAAGACCAATAAAAGATATCTAAGACCCAGTCTTTAAGGGCTGTAGATCCAGAAAACTTGGGGATCATTGCAGGGGACCCTGGTTAGAAAAGGTTTCATGGAAGATTTGGGATTTTGACTGGAAACTTGTGTATCGAAATCCACTTGCTATGTTCTTGGCTCTATGCTGTGGAAGATACAAAAGAATTTTGAGACATTGCACTCGTTCCTACCCTCCAGTCACTCCAGACTAGTGGAGAGTATAAGGCACACATGTCCTTTTGATGGGAGGATGACTAGCGTGACCAGGAGGAGGTGGATGTTGTTCATTCAGGGCTAACAATGGCTGCATTTACCAGTGCTTTGAAAGATGGGCAGGACTTGGGTAGATGCAGAGACAGGAGAAGCATTCAGCATGGAAAGAATGGTATGTTCTGGCTGTCCCTGGCATGATACTCTTCCTTGGTTACCAGGAATAAGTATGGGATGATGACACAAGTGACACAGACTTTGAAACTGGAAGACATGCCAAGGATCAACAGCCGCTTCTTTGGTGAAGGTAAGACTTTCTGTCTGCATAGGTGCTGGTAAATCTGCTCAGGATGTGCCAATCATGGCTTAACCACTTGCCAGGCCCTGTTAAATGTCTGCTGACTAAGAAGTGATATGCACACTGGTGTTCTGGCTACCTCTAGTGAGAAAGCAAACTCATCTCAGGATGTCAAGTTGCAATGGCATAGAAGAAAAGTTCTCAATGCTACCTAGGTGTCTGTCAATAGAAAACTGGAACCCTAGGTTTAACATGACATATTTGGTAGAACTGACATCACCCATCCTGTGATAAGACCCGGAGCTGTCCCATACAAGGTGGAGCAAGTGGGAGAGAACCTTCAGAGTCCGACTTAGGTGTCTTTTCTGAGCATCTGCTATGTGCTCAACCCTACTCTGGGCATCACTGAGGAAGGCACAGTGGCAGATGAACCATGGACCTTCCCCTCAGGATGCTTCCAGTCTAATACAGGAGCCAGGTCAATAAAGTATATATGGTATAATTGATAAGATGATAAGCTGAGCAGTGAAGACAAGAAGTCCTGGGCTTGACCAGGATAAAGAAAGTATTATTCATGTAGCTCAATGGCAATATTTCATGGAGGATATGGAGCAGGAACCTGTAAAATGCAAAGGATGCGTAAATGAAAGAGACACATAAGAATGGGCTTCTGGGCAAAGAAAACTTACTGAGCAGGTGTGTGAGGGGCTCTGTAGTGGGACGGACATATGGAGTTAGTCTTTAGAGGTAGAAGGGACTTTAGCATCTTGAGTCCAGCCCTGACCCAGCATTGTATTGTGTTTATATCTGTCCAAATTATTTCTTGTGCATTACATCATTGTCCTTTTTGTTCATAGCAATCTGTGATGTCAGGTGGTAGAGACGTGATTTTATACTCATTCTACAGAGGGGAAAGTGACACATAGAGAGGCTTAGAGCTTGATGTAGTCAAGGCCACAGAATATTAGAGGGGGGCAAATAAGTGCCCAGGTGTAATCTAAGCCAGGACTCTTCTCATTACACCACACCTCCATGATGACTTTTACCTCTCTTCCTGGCATAGGTCACACACAGCAGGTGGTGGAGGGGATGCAAAAGTGTCACCCCTCTTCACAAGCTGCTGGTAGACCCAATTAGAAGAAATGGTGGTGAGCACCAATGTGCCTGGTCCCAGTTGTAACCATGTTAGCAGCAGCACCCCCTCACCGGTTCTTTCAAGCTAAGGGTAATCTGATGATAGACTCAACGTCTGAATTCCACTTCAGCTCTACCCCTTAACCTTGAGAGCTCTTGGGAAACATAAGTTGCTCATCTCTGGGTCTCAGTTCCTCATCTCTGGGTCTCATCTCTGGAACTCAGAGCTGAGATCCAAGGATGAGCAATTTACATTGCCCAAAAACTCTGTGAGTCTCAGAAGCAAGGCTGAATTTATCTTTAAACTGAACAATAATACCAGCCCGCAGGGATAGGATGATGAGTCAGTGAAAACAATTAAGTCAGTCATCTATGGCACAGCCAGATCTAACAGGCATTGAGTACAGGATAGTTTTCTTCTCTTTTCCCCTGTGCTGATACTCCACAATTTCCAGCTTCCAGTAGACAAAGATATAGTTGAGATAAAGAAGTGAGCTAGAGTACTTTTGACACTTTCCAACTTCCAGGTACTAACAAGATGGGTCTTGCCTTTGAGAGTACCAAATCCACATCACCTCCAAAGCAGGCCGAAGCTGTTCTGAAGACTCTTCAGGAACTGAAAAAACTCACCGTCTCTGAGCAAAATTCCCAGAGAGCTAATCTCTTCAATATGCTGGTCACTGAGTTGAGAGGCCTCAGTGATGAGGCAGTCACATCTCTCTTGCCGCAGCTGATCGAGGTGTCCAGGTATTTAATGCTTACAGCTCAATGTTTTTTATAAAACTGATGGTAACTAGCTGAACTTTCAAACCTTGGCCAAATGGAGAATCTCAGGGACAATTTGGATATCAATCCAGTTAATCAGTTAGTCGATCTGTTCATGACTGCTGGATAGAGAAATATCAGCTGATGTGCTAAGAGTTTCATGAAACACACACACACATGCACACAGTATTCAAGGCAGCTATGTATTCATGTGTTAAAATAGAAGGGGAATGGTTCCCTCATTTTGATGGATATCGTTGAATTCCTAGTTCTATTGCAGGTGCTCTTTGGAAGCTTATAGGCTGGTAGAGAGAGAACTCAGGCAAACGATAGAATATGATTTATCTACGCTTCAAGGCACTGGCTTTAGGTGCTATGAAGGTCAGAGAAGGGACTGAGGCCAGGACCCAGCTAATGTTAGCCAGGCATGTTCTGTGTGCTGACCAAAGGACAATAGTAAAAGTCTTCCTGTAGCGAGAGATCCACAGTTCCCTCTTGGGACTTTGCTCAATGCGGCTTCTCCTGTGGGTAATATTCCTAGGCAAGGCGTCATGGTTCTGAGCTCTAAGTTGGGTTTTGAAAGATGGTTAGATTTGAATAGTGAATGAGGGGATTAAGGGCTCTCCTGGCAGAGGACACACCATGAGCCATATTTTAGCTGCCCTGAAGGTGGTCTGTATAACTTTATCCATGTCTTTCTTCTCAGCCCCATCACCTTACAAGCCTTGGTTCAGTGTGGACGGCCCCAGTGCTACACTCACATCCTCCAGTGGCTGAGTCGTGTGCATGCCAACCCCCTTCTGATAGATGTTGTCACCTACCTGGTGGCCCTGATCCCCGAGCCCTCGGCACAGCAGCTGCGAGAGATCTTCAACACGGCGAGGGAGCAGCGCAGCAGAGCCACCTTGTATGCGCTGAGCCACGTGGTCAACAAGTGAGTTTCAGGCTGTGTTTCTCCTCTGAGGAGCAGAGGAACATCTCGCACCTCTGTGCATCTCTGTGTTAAAATGGAACCCCTCCTTCCACTTTCAAACTCTGCTCCTTCCTCTTTGTTTTTTTCTTGACTATTTTTGGGGTAATTACTTTAAATAAGAAGTCAGCAAACACTATTCAAAATTTTTAAAATATTTTTCCTACATTGCATTATAAAAGTTTTTGAACATAGGGAAGTTGACAGAATTATATAGGGAGAACCCCTAGAAAACCAGCTATATCCGACCATTTAAGTGCGATTATATTTGCTTTTTTGCATATACATCTATCCATTAATTTACCTTATTAGCTGAAGCACTTCAAAGTAAATTGCAGACATCAACACACTTTCCCCTAAGTACATCAGCAAGCATATTAACTTCACTTCAGTATTAGTTAGCAGTTTTTTCTCTATTTATTTATTTATTCATTTTTGGAGATGGTCTCTCTGTGTCACCCAGACTGGAGTGCAGAGGTGCAGTCACAGCTGACTGCAGCCTCAAATTCCTGGGCTTAAGTGATCCTCCCACCTCAGCCTCCCAAGTAGCTGGGACCGCAGGCACATGCTACCTACCATGCCCAGCTAATTTTTGTATTTTTGGTAGAAACAGAGTTTTACCATGTTACTCAGGCTGGCAGTTTTTTCTTTTGATAAAGTTGTTTTCTTTTTATTTTTTAAATTTTTATATAAATGTATGTGGTACAAGTGTAATTTTGTTACATGAATAGATTTTGTAGTATAGATTTTGTAGTAGTTCAGTCAGGGCTTTTAGGGTATCTATTACCCAGATAACATATCGTGTAACCATTAAGTAATTTCTCATCATTCCATCTCCCTCCACTTCCCCACCTTCTGAGTCTCCATTGTCTATCATTCCACACTCTATGTCCTGTGTGCACATTATTTAGCTCCCACTCATAAGTGACAATATGCATTATTTGTCTTTCTATGACTTTCCTGTTTCTTAAGATAATGACTTAAGATAATAACCTTCAGTTCCACTCATGTTCCTGCAAATAACTTGATTTTATTCTTTATATGGCTGAATAGTATTTTATTGCCTGTACAGGCCACATTTTTAATCCCATCATCCATTGATGAACACATAGGTTGATTCCATGTCTTTCCTATTATGAATAGTGCTGCGATCAACATGTGGATGCAGGTATCTTTTGGATATAAGATTTCTTTTCCTTTAAGCATATACCCCGTAGTGGCTGGATTCAATGGTAGTTCTATTTTTGATTCTTTGAGAAATTTCAGTATTGTCTTCAATACAGGTTGTACTAATTTACAATCCCATCAACAGTGTTTAACTGTTCCCTTTTCTCTGTATCATCACCAATATCTGTTATTTTTTGTTTTTGAATAATGGCCCTCCTGACTGTTGTAGGATGTTATCTCATTGCAGTTTTAATTTATATTTCTCCAATGATGTTAAGCATTTTTTAAATATACCTATTGCCATTTGTATGTCTTCTTTTGAAAAAATGTCTATTTGTGTCCTTTGCCCACTTTTTAATGGGGTTATTTGGGGTATTTTTTGTTGAGTTGTTTGAATTCCTTGTACATTCTGGATATTAGTCCCCTGCTGGATGAATAGTTTGCAAATTTATTCTCCCATTCTGCAGGTTGTCCACCGTGTTGATTATTTGTTCTGCTGTACAGACTTTTTTTTAGTTTAATTAAGTTCTATTTGTCTATTTTTGTTTTTGTTGTCTTTGCCCTTGAGGTCTTAGTCATGAATTCTTTGTCTACGCTAATGTCCAGAGAGTTTTCCCTAGATTTTCTTCTTGTATTTTTATAGTTTCAGGTCTTTCATTTAAGTCTTTGATCCATCTTGAGTTGATTTTTGTATATGGTGACAGATAGACATCCAGTTTTATTCTTCTGCATATAGCAATCCAACTTTCCCAGCACCATTTATTGAAAAGGGTACCCTTTCCCTAGTGTATGTTTTTGTCAATTTTGTTAAAGATCCATTGACTCTAAGTATGTGGCTTTATTTCTGGGTTCACTATTGTGTTCATTGATCTATGTGCCTATTTTTATGCCAATGCAATGCTTGTTTAGATTACTATAGCCTTGAAGCATAATTTGAAGTCAGGTAACGTGATACCTCCAGCTCTGTTCTTTTTGCTTAAGATTGCTTCCACTATTCAGGCTCTTTTTGGATTTCATATGAATTGTATAATTATTTTTTCTAATTCACAAGTTTAGATTTTAAGACAAACCTAACTGTGCTTACTGATTCCTGACTCTCTTCTCTTATTCTGTAGCTATCATGAGACAAACCCTACAGGGACCCAGGAACTGCTGGACGTTGCTAATTACCTGATGGAACAGATTCAAGATGACTGCACTGGGGATGAAGATTACACCTATTTGATTCTGCGGGTAATCTCAGTCTTTTATATGACATACATCATTTCAGAAGCACTTCTCCTGGATACCCTTTGCTTCTCTCTCCTGTACCCTGATGGGTTCTTATTTCTTTTTTTCAATGCAGGTCATTGGAAATATGGGCCAAACCATGGAGCAGGTAACTCCAGAACTCAAGTCTTCAATCCTGAAATGTGTCCAAAGTACAAAGCCATCACTGATGATTCAGAAAGCTGCCATCCAGGCCCTGCGGAAAATGGAGCTTAAAAACAAGGTAAAGTCCAAAAGAAGAGGTCTGAAAATGAAAGTTTATAAACAAGGATTTGGAAGGTACTGGGGGAATGAGATTCTAAATTTCATCTACTGACTTCATTCTGTTGCTTTTCTTTTTGCCTTTCTTTCTTTTCCTTTCTTTTCTTCTTTCCTTCTTTTTCTTTCTTTTTTTTTTTTTTTTTTTTTTTTTTTTTTTTTTTAGATGTAGTCTCTCTCTGTTGCCCAAGCTGGAGTGCAATGGCAGGAACTAGGCTCACTGCAACTTCCACCTCCTAGGTTCAAGCAATTCTCCCTTCCTCAGCCTGCTGAGTAGCTGAGGTTACAGGCACCCACCACTATGCCTGGCTAATTTTTGTATTTTTTAGTAGAGACAGGGTTTTGCCATATTAGCCAGGCTGGTCTTAAACTCCTGACATCAGGTGATCTGCTCGCCTCAGCCTCCCAAAGTGCTGGGATTACAGGCATGAGCCACTATGCCTGGCCTCTGCTGTTTTCTAATTGAAAATGTTAACAGGTCTATTGACTTGACTGCCTAGCAGTATGTGACATGAGAGAAATACTTGACCTTGCTGCTATGTCAACATGCAGAATGTGAGATGTTTTTGCACCTACCGTCTGCCTACCAGATTGACTATCCCTCTCATCAAGGAAAAATATGCTTAATTTCCACCCAGTAACCTTAGGCTAGGATAGTCAAGTTGGCCCCTCCTTAGACGGCCATGACTCCAGAGCTTTGGAAACTACCTTATTTATTAGTCCCAAACTCTTACTATCCCTTTTCATCTTGACCCTCACATTGAAATAACTTGTGTTAAAACAACTTTATTTTTACTTAGTAGTAGATCTCCAAACAAATCATAACTTGGTCCTAATTTGTGTGTTTTAATGCAATTGAATTCAACAGGCATTCTATAGGCTCTTCTGGGAATCCTTACTTGTTAGTATTCTAGGGAACACTGGCAAGAATATTCAATACCAGCATTTGAAGAGTGATTACAGAGAAATTAAACTTGTGCTTTAAAATGAGCTAGCAGACCATGCCAGTGGTGTTTGCCAGGCCTGTTCTGTGTTCCGACCACAGGACAGTGATAACCAGCTCCTCTTTTGACTGCAGGACCAGGAGGTCCTTCTTCAGACTTTCCTTGATGGTGCTTCTCCGGGAGATAAGCGACTGGCTGCCTATCTCATGCTGATGAGGAATCCTTCACAGGCAGATATTAACAAAATTGTCCAACTTCTACCACGGGAACAGAATGAGCAAGTGAAGAACTTTGTGGCTTCCCATATTGCCAACATCTTGAAGTCAGAAGAATTGTATATCCAAGAGTAAGTAAGAGTGATTTTCCCCCATATACCACTGAGGGCCCTGAGCTGGAATTCCAACCCTGGGTTTTGGAATAGCCACTGCCTGCCCTTGCTTCTGAAATAAACACTTGTCCAAATGTGTAGCAGAACCAGACCTAAAGCCTTGGGGTAAATGAAATCCAGAAATTTTGGTAATGATTGGAAATCCATATTTACTTGGGGGTGGGTGCAAGAGTCAAAAGATAAAACATGGTGTGTCAGCTCAAAATATACTTCTTCTTATCTAGTCTGCAAAAGTTAGTGACAGAAGCTCTGAAAGAATCTCAACTTCCCACGGTCCTGGACTTCAGAAAATTTTCTCGGAACTATCAGCTCTCCAAATCTGTTTCTCTTCCGTCACTTGACTCAGCCTCAGCCAAAATCGAAGGGAATCTTATATTTGATCCAAATAATTACCTTCCTAAAGAAAGCATGCTGAAAACTACCCTCACTGTCTTTGGATTTGCTCCAGCTGACCTCTTCGAGGTAAGTGTGAAGAGTTCGAAGTTCTCTAGCCCATTTTGTACAGCATCACGAGCAGAGAGTCCTGGGAGCCAGGAGCCAGCTAGGGACAAACAAGAACCACCAGGCACTTCCTAGCATCACTCTGAGATGTTCTTCTTTCCCTCCTTCCTCGCCTTCCTTTCTCCCCACTAGGGGTCACCTGCAGTATGACTTCTTAGCACTAACAGAAATGCAGATGTCTCCAAGACGTCTTTAAGTCCCAACGCCAAGAAGTATATATGCTGCCTAGTCAGATCTGCTTCCAATCTCAAATTCACTCCTAACTCTGAATCCTTGGCGGCATTATTTGTCCTCTCTGAACCTTAGCTGCCTCTTCTAGAAAAAAGCAAATAATAAGGTCAAGATTCTAGTGAGATTTTAATAAAGTAGCTTCTGTGAAGTGCTGAAGTCCGCTCCTGGCCTATGGTATTCAAATATTTGTTTGGATAAATGGACATCAAGAAGTGGAACTACTAGGCTGACATACAACAAAGAAACCTGATGCCATTTTCTTGTCCGATTTTCTTTCTCAGATTGGCTTGGAAGGAAAAGGCTTTGAGCCAACATTGGAAGCTCTTTTTGGGAAGCAAGGATTTTTCCCAGACAGTGTCAACAAAGCTTTGTACTGGGTTAAGGGTCAAGTTCCTGATGGTGTCTCCAAGGTTTTAGTGGATCACTTTGGCTATACCAAAGATGATAAACGTGAGCAGGTGTGTATTTGTTAAGTATCTTCTTAAGGAAAGCTTTCGGTCTCAATGAAAAATTCTTTTCTAAGCGTGGAAGTCATCAAAGTACTATCTAACTGAAGGTTTTTATCAACCAGACCTGCTGGGGTAAGGGCCAGTATCCTCGGCAGTTAAGGGTCTTCTGAAATTCAGTGTGCCCAGAAACCAGACTCATAAGAAGTATTCTAGGATAATAATTACGAATTCTGGGCCAGGTGTGGTGGCTCACACCTGTAATTCCAGCACTTTGGGAGGCCAAAGCGGGCGGATCACAAGGTCAGGAGTTTGAGACCAGCCTGGCCAACATAGTGAAACCCTGTCTCCACTAAAAATACAAAAAAATTAGCCTGGCATGGTGGCAGGCACCTGTAATCCCAGCTATTCAGGAGGCTGAGGCGGGAGAATCACTTGAATCCAGGAGGTGGAGGTTGCAATGAGCCAAGATTGCACCATTGCACTCCAGCCTGGATGACTGTGCGAGACTCTTAAAAAAATTTAAAAAGCGTATGAACTCTGGGCATGGATTTAATTCTAACTTCACTGTCTTGAAGCTGTGTGCACTTGGGGAAGTTGGCTGATATTGTGTGTATCTGTTTCTGTCTGCATCCCAGACTACTAATAATAGTCCAGACCTCACAAGATTATTTAAAGACAATGAAATAAGGCATCTAAAATGCTAAGCACAGTGCCTAATGTTGGCATTGATTGTTCAATAAGCAGATACTATTACAAGTTTTAAATTAATATTTTCATTATTATTAACTGCTTTCTTTGGCTGTCACTCCCATCCGTACACTAGCAAATGGGACCAAAATTCCACTTTGAAGCTAGCAATGAGTTTCCATTTAAGAAGCGAAAATAGGTTGTAGGATCTGGAGCTTATTCTCGCATTTTTTGCTACCTAAAGTGTGGTCTGGTCAGAAATGCAGGTTCTCAGGCTTCGCCGACAATCTACTGAATCAGAAGCTGCATTTTGGCAAGACGTCACGTGACTCGTATGCACATTCAGGTTTACAGAGCAAAGAAGTAATTTGCTCCTCCATGCTCACTGCTGAGCACCAGCTCCATCTTCTAATTTCCTGACCCTCACTCGAGGCCAAGGGTCTTTGATCTTCTTTGAGTCTGTCAGTTGCACATTTTTTTTCCTCAATGCCTGAGCATCTATCTCTGAGATTCTTCTTCTAAGAAGAACTTATCTAGGATCAAGTGTTTTTCTAACTTTTGGTCAATTTATATAGCAGCTACATTTTCTTAAGAAACACCTTGTCGTCCTCACTGGTCAAAGAAGAGAAGGCTAAGCAGGGAAGGGTGAGAGATAGAGGATCTTCTAATCTTGATCCTGGCATACTGGAGAACAGGGACCCCTCCCCTCACCCCACATCTTGCTATGTTTACAGATTTTTAAATTAAGAATAGCTTTGGGAGTGCCACTGTCCCCGCCAAGACCTTAGTTCTTTCATCTCTGTTTAGAGGAATTAGCCTGGACTTCAGTATCTCCCTGTTCCTCACCTGGAGCGTTTTTCAGGCCCATCCTGGCTGCAGCAGACAGGTCCCACATTGAGAACTGAAAGGTGTTTGACATTGCTGACATGTCACTGTGCATTTTATTACTAAACTCTCAGGACATGGTAAAAGGAATGATGCTCAGTGTTGAGAAGCTGATTAAAGATCTGAAATCCAAAGAAGTCCCGGAAGCCAGAGCCTACCTCCGCATCTTGGGAGAAGAACTTGGCTTTGCCAGGCTCCATGACCTGCAACTCCTAGGAAAGCTTTTCCTGATGGGTGCCCGCACTCTGCAGGGGATCCCCCAAGTGGTAAGTCAGCAGGCCCCATCGGGGGTCTGTGAGACCAGAGGTTGGTCTTTTTAGATCACCCAGACTCCTTACAATCCTAGCTGCACACACCAGAAAAGATGCTTGTACTTTTTTCGAAGATGCAGATTTGCTTTGAATTTCACTGAAGATGACTCTTGGATTGCAAGGAACTGTTAACGTTTAGAAATTAAGTTATTCATAATGTTAGCTCTATTTTTAAGAGCATTAATTTATTCATCTGGAAAACAATGTTCAGTATACCTTCCTTTACCTTTGCTAAATGCCCTTTTATTTTTATTTTTATTTTTTTTTACTTTTTGAGATGGACTCTTGCTCCCAGGCTGGAGTGCAGTGGCATGATCTCAGCTCACTGCAACTCTGCCTCCCAGGTTCAAGCAATTCTCCTGCCTCAGCCTCCCAAGTACCTGGGACTACAGATGTGCACCAGCCTGCCCAGCTAATTTGTGTATTTTTAGTAGAGGCAAAGTTTCACCATGTTGGCCAGGCTGGTCTCAAACTCCTGACCTCAAGTGATCTGCCAGCCTGGACCTCCCAAAGTGCTGGGATAACAGATGTGAGCCACTGCACCTGGCCTGAAGTTTCTTTTAATATTGAAATAATACAGTGATTATATTTGGCAAACTATAATTCACTATCTAAATGTGCTATAATTTTTATTATTAATTTATTAATAAAAGAAGAAATATATAAACGTACTCCTATGGCTTGATAAAAAAAAAAAAAAAAGTTGGCTTTAAGAAAACAGATTGGCCGGGCGCGGTGGCTCAAGCCTGTAATCCCAGCACTTTGGGAGGCCGAGGCGGGTGGATCACGAGGTCAAGAGATCGAGACCAACCTGGTCAACATGGTGAAACCCCGTCTCTGCTAAAAATAGAAAAAAAATTAGCTGGGCATGGTGGCACGTGCCTGTAATCCCAGCTACTCAGGAGGCTGAGGCAGGAGAATTGCCTGAACCCAGGAGGCGGAGGTTGCGGTGAGCCGAGATTGCGCCATTGCACTCCAGCCTGGGCAACAAGAGCAGAACTCCGTCTCAAAAAAAAAAAAAGAAAGAAAGAAAAGAAAACAGATCTCAAGCTGTTTTATAGAAATATTGTTTAAAACAATAAAACCCAATGCAAACTGATATGTACATCATCTTGATATGTCTTTAGTTTCAAAAAAATGATTTTATCGTAATATATTTCAAGTACACCTTCACTTACACTCAGACTCCAGAACACCAGAATTAAGCCATAGCATATATGATACTTAAAGTCCATAAAGCTCTGCGGCCCAGCAATATTCTTAAGTACTTTCTGAATCAGTTGAAAATGACGTGCTATCTATTATTTCTTATATCCTGATTCACTGAAAGCAATAAAAGCATCAGTTTGATCTTTATTTATCAAACTATCCAGCTCATCAAAATATGCTAGTCCTTCCATTCTAGATAAAGAAGAATTACTCTCCAATGTATGGGAGGTTGCATTTAACAAAATCCACTTTAAAAATACTTACTTTTAGTTTCTCTCTCGTTGTATCTATAGATTGGAGAGATCATCAGGGAGGGCTCAAAGAATGATTTTTTTCTTCACTACATCTTCGCGGATTATGCCTTTGAACTCCCCACTGGAGCTGGATTACAGTTCCAAATGTCTTCATCTGGAGTCATCACTCCCGGAGCCAAGGCTGGAGTGAAACTGGAAGTAGCCAACGTAAGATTCTGTTTGACTTCTGTTGTCTTAGGTTCTTATTTTCTCAAGGGTGGGTTTCTTGTTAAAACACATTTTAAAATGTGTTTCCAGTTCAAGACAAAATGTATCATCATTGCAATCACCTCATTATTTTTTATGAAAAACTGCAAGCTTCCACCAGAATGCGCCACCTCACTAGCTCTAGTAGTGGTATGGCCATAAGACAAGAACTCAGTTCTCCCAATAAATGAGTATTCCTATCATCTGTTTTAATCTGGTTTTGCCCAATGTTAAGTCAGGTACTTTCTAGTTCTGGGTAGTGTAATTCAACTCTAGAGAACTGAGAATTTGCTTTCCTTCCTCCAAACAAATGCCAGTAATGTTTCCTAAGGTGTGAGTTATCGAGGACATGTTTGCCCAGAGGTGAGAAAGGGTGGTTGATCTGACTGACAGAGGACTGAAGTATTTAATGAATCTGAATAGGTTGTTTTCTGTCTTACAGATGGAGGCTGAATTGGTGACAAAACCCTCCGTGTCTGTGGAGCTTGTGACAAATATGGGCATCATCATTCCAGACTTCGCTAGGAGCGGGGTCCAGATGCACACCAATGTCTTCCACGAGTCGGGCCTGGAGGCTCGTGTTGCCCTGAAAGCTGGGCAGCTGAAGTTTATCATTCCCTCCCCAAAGAGACCAGTCAAGCTGTTCAGTGGCGGGTAATTCTTTCAGCCAACTCTCCTTAGCCAGTTTGAAAGAGAGAACTGAGAATGTATCTGCAGGATTTTGCCAAGCTAAAGAGTTGATTAAATCATTCAGGTCCTGAAGAAGGGGGAGAGGAGAGAGGAAAGGTTCCGGGTTACCTATTTTAATTCTAGCCTAAACTCACTGCATAATTGCCTTTCCTCGACTGGTCACATTTTACTAAATTGTCCTTTATCTTTGTGCATTGAGACGTACTAAGACCTACTGCTTAATTAGTTTCTATTAAGTTATGATTTTTTGTTATCTATTTGTTTTCAGAATGAAGACATAATACCTCTAGAGAGATCATCTTTGGGAAATCAATATTTCCCCCCCAAAAAATACCAAAGAACATACTGATTTGAGGTAGCTAGCTCAGTAGGTAAAGCACAAAACTCCTAACCCCGTGATAATGGGATACAGCCTCTTACGGAGAGTTCCATTTTAAGTGGTACCCTCAACCATTGACTTATCTTAGTTTTCCTATTTTAGACACATTCATGTGTTCATTCAAAAATAGTATTTAATTGGCCAGATGCGGTGGTTCACGCCTGCAATTCCAGCACTTTGGGATCCCCAGGTGGATGGATCCCTTGGGCCCAGGTGTTCAGAGACCAGCCTGGGCAACATGACAAAACTCCATCTGTGCAAAAAAGCAAATAAGTAAATAAATAAATAACAAAATTAGCCAGGCATAGTGGTGCATACCTGTAGTTCCAGCTACTCAGAAGGCTGAGATGGGAGGATCAATTGAGCCCAGGAGTTCAAGGCTTCAGTAAACCATGATCACACCACTGCACTCCAGCCTAGGAGACAGAGCAAGACCCTGTCTAACAAAAAACAAAAAATAGTATATTTAATTGCCTAATAGGTACCAAGTATGTTGAATGAGAAACACAAGGTCCCTGCCATTTAAGTGCTTGTATTTTACAAGGAAGACATACAATTAAGCAAGTAGTAATCACAGAGTCAGGGCTAAGTTATAAAAAGTATTAGAGTACCATGAAATTTTATATCATGTAGCCTGTGCTAGTCAGGAAAGCATTCTGAAACCCAGTATACTTGATCTGGTAACTGAGGACTGTGTCAGAGTCACTTAGGCAAAGGAGAAAGCAGTGAGTATTCCAGGCAAAAGGAGAAGCATGTAGTGGTCTGAAGGTAAGGGAATATGAGGAAGGGGGAGAGGAGTAGAGAGGAAAGGTTCTGTGTTACCTGTTTTAAGTCTAGCCTAGACTCACTGTATAATTACCTTTTCAAGGAACTGAAAGAAGTGCAGAATGGTAAGGGGCTCAGGGAATGTAAGTGAGGAATGACGGGGAGAGGCAGACAAAAAAGAGAGCATGCCCTGCCATGCAAGCCATCCTAAGGAGTTTAGACTCTTTTGAAGGCACAGGAGTTGAAGAGGGGAGCAGAAATAAGATAGGGGTGATGTTTTACAAGAAATACTCTGACTCCAGTGTGGAAAATGGGTGGGAAGGAGGCATAGCTAAAGACAAAGAGACCACTGGGCGTCTCTGACAATGCTGTGTGGCTAAGAGCTGATAATGGCCTGCAACGAGGAAAGCCAGGTATAGAAAGGAGTGAGCAGACTCTAGAGCTTGCTAACAGGCAGAATCGTAAGTCCTGCTTCATTGACTGGGTATGGGGATAAGGCAAAAGAAAGAAGAAAAGAGGAAGCAGGCGCCCTTCATTGAAATAAGAACTACAGTGGGAGAACTTCTGGTTTAGAGGAAGGTGACAAACTCAGTTTTGGATGTGCTGCATTTCATGTCCTATAAAACAACCAATTTAGAAATATCTAGCTTGCAAAGAGACCTATGGATCTGAGCCCAGTAAAGAGGGCTGGGCTCCACACATGGATCTGGGAGTCGTTAGCATAGAGTGGTTGTTGCAGTTAAACAGCAACTAGTGTGGAGTGAGACCTAAGAGACAAGGACAGAAATGTGGAGAAGACAAATGTAAAGAAAGAGACGGAGTAGCCAGCAATGAGTTAGAAGAAGTGACCAGAGAAGCAGAAGGAGAACCAAAACCATAAAAAGTCACAGCAGCCAAAGGGCATCAATGGGGGAGACCATCCCACAGGCAGGCGAACACTGGCATTAGGACTCAAGTACATGAGCAAAGCTTGGTCCTGTGGCACCCCCAAAGTGGAGAAGTAATACTTGGAGGAAAATGTGATATTTCAGACAAAGCATCCTTAGAAGAAACCTGGTCAGTGTTGAACTCTCTTACATGTACTAAGTTTTTAAGTACACACTTGGAAGGAAGGTACCATCATTTCTTCAGATGTGAGAGGCTCCAGCATCTTTGTCTGGTCATGAGTGTGCAACTCTGCTGAAGGCTTCTGGGAGGTCAAAGAAGATAAACCTAAATATGCCCATTGGATGTAGGAGCAAGGAGGGCATTACAGACATTGATGGAAGCATTTTCAGAAGATGGAGTGAGCAGTCACAGCACAGTTCAGTGCAGCACATTGAGAGGAAGTGGAGACTGTAAGGGCAGACAACTCTCTTGATGGTGAGGGAGAGAAAAGAAAGGAAGAAAAGAAAGAAAGGAGCATAGGGGAGGGGCACAGGGGAAGAGACTTGAGTGTGCTTAATGCTGGTGGAAGGAAGCAGGTGGAGAGTAAGGGATTTCATGTGAGAGAGACAGAGTTTCTCTTGCCCTGCATCGTAGGAAGGAAGAGGCACACTGAAGTTCAGCTCCAGTGATCAGCTGTTGAACATCTCTGAGCCTCTGCTTCTGTAAAATGAGAACCCTAAGCCTACTGTTGTGGGGATTACAGGTAACAGATGAAAATAACTCGGTTGCAAGCTTTAGAGTCATTCCAGTGGCTTGTCATGTTGATGTTCTTTCTATTATTATTTGTTTCTCAGTAAATTAAATAATGAGAGACAGGTGTGGACTGAGGGAAGCTAAGACAGGAGGACCCTGAGAATTTATGATGTTCATTTTGATTCATGACTTGGCAATAACTCGGGTATTTTTGTTCTTCACCAGCAACACATTATATTTGGTCTCTACCACCAAAACGGAAGTGATCCCACCTCTCATTGAGAACAGGCAGTCCTGGTCAACTTGCAAGCCATTCTTTACTGGCCTGAATTACTGCACCTCAGGCGCTTACTCCAACGCCAGCTCCACAGACTCCGCCTCCTACTATCCGCTGACAGGGAACACCAGGTTAGAGATGCTCAGTACCCAGCCCAGCATCTTCTCACCTTCCACACCATGGCCAACTAGCATGGCAAAGGGAAAATGCTCTGGGCCATAGGCCCCTATCACTAGCCTTCTGGGTTTGTATCATCTTTGGGTATTTAAAGCAGGGTCCTCTGGCCAACACATGGGGTGCCCCCTTTTGCTTCCTTATGCATGGGATAAGATCACAGCACAGATCCCAAATTGCTCCTAATTCAGTGTCCATGCTTCTGAGCCTCCAAACCCATTGCTATGAGCTTCCTGGAGTCCACCAACGTGCCTGAAGCCTTCACTGTACTTAGGCGGCGTCTTGTCTTCAGCCCCCCACCTCAAGTTCCAGTGCTTGTTCTCAGTTTTGCTGAAACAACCAGTCAGCTCCTGCTCTGCTTGTCCAAAGCCTTGGGAATCCTGGCAACTGCCCTTGCCTTGGGTTCTTGCAGGGACTGAGGGATTATAAAGGTCATTGTAGTTAAGGGCAAGAGATAATGTGAAAATAAGGACTATATTTTTGTTGCATTTGAGGCTGAATTGTTTTGGGGACATTATAACCATCCTTGAAAGTTCTAACATGTGCTGTCTTCATTGTAACATCTTTAGATTAGAGCTGGAACTGAGGCCTACGGGAGAGATTGAACAGTATTCTGTCAGTGCAACCTATGAGCTCCAGAGAGAGGACAGAGCCTTGGTGGACACCCTGAAGTTTGTAACTCAAGCAGAAGGTGAGTATTCAAAACACAGCTGCTTCATCTCTGCTGTCAGTCTCAGGTTCAGAATTCATGAGGAGAACACATGTAATTTAACCTATTTAACAAATATCAACTGAGTGCCCAATAGGCAGCAGGCCTATTCTAAGACCTGGGCCTAGAACAGTGAACAATGGAGTCTCTGCCTTCAAGGAAGTTACAGTGAACAACCAAACAAGTTAATATTTGGAATATCAGATCAATACTGGATAGGAAAACAGAGCATAGACTGGTCGAAGGAGGGCCAGGAGTAGGAGGCAGGAAGAAGGGTGGGGAAAGTAGTGCATTTGGAATAATAAGCGAAAGTCTCCCTGGTAAAGTGAGCGTAAGGAGACCTAACAGCGATAAGAGGAGAAGCCATATGGAAAGACTGTTACAGGCAGAGGGACCATCAGGTGCAAAGGCCCTGAGGCTGACACATTACTGCCATGTTTCAAGGAAAGGAAGGAGACCAGTATGGCTGGAGCAGAAAGACCAGGGAGAAAAGAGATATAAGATGAGGACATAGAGATACAGGGAGGTGAAGGAGGGACAGGCCATGGTAAGAACTCTGGTTTTCCTACAAATTAAATGAAAGCCACTGGGAAATCTTCATGATTTGATTTACATTTATGTTGAGAAAAGACTATGGCAGGACAAGGGCAGAGAAACTAATATGTAGGTTATCACAATCATCCAGGCAGGAGTCAGGGTTGTTTTGGATTAGGGCAATGGCAGAGGAAATATGAGAAGGGGTTGGATTCTGGCCATATTCTAAAGATAAGGCTGACAAGATTTGCTGATACCATGGATGTTGAGTGTAAGAGGAAAATGGGAATGAGGACAAATCTAAGGTTTTTGGCCTGGGCAACTAAAACACAGAGCTTCCATTTATTGAGGTGAAAAGCCTACTGGAGGAGCAGGTTTTAGGCAATGGGGCAAATTTAGGTGTTCACTTTGGAAAAAAAAATTATATAGGGATAGCAAGGAATAGGTTTTAAGGAATGGAGCAAATTTAGGTGTTCACTTTGGAAAAAATTTTGTATAGGGATAGTGCATCACAAAATTAAACGAGAAAGAAAGTCCCATGAGAGAAAACACTGGAGGAGCAGGGTACGCTGGGGAACTAGAGTTTGGTAAAAGGTTTTACAAAGGATATAAAAAGGATGGGCCTATGGATCAAAGGACACCTGGGAATCTTGTTACAAAGAAAGGAAGAGTTGGAGAGAGGAAGCCCAGGGCAAGGGCAGCAAATAATCAGGACAGGCATCTTGGATGGAGAGTCATGTAGAGATGTCATGTCTCCCTGGCACAGAAGGACTGTGGGCCCTTGCTGTTCCACAAACAGGCCAAGTGCTCCCCATCTCAGGGCCTCTGTATTTCTGACCCTCTGCCTGGAATGTGCTCCTCCCAGAACTCATCATGGCTCCAACCTCTCTTCATTCTGGTCTCCGCCCACATGTTCCCTTATCAGAGAGAACGCCTCTGACCATCAAGTACAAAATAACACTTCTATCCTTTTCTATCTTTCATCCGTGTATCCAGTTTTGCTCTTCTTCATAACATTCATTACCATCTGACGTGAGCAAGTTATTTGTTTACTGCCTGTACACCTTTCCCACCAGAAAGTAAGCCCCATAAAAGTAAGGACTCCCCAGTGCCAAGAGCAGGGCCCAGCACAGAATAGGCTCATGATAGGCAATCCATAAAGACTTGCATGCATGAACACCACTGAGTTCAAAATTTTCAGTAAAATCCTGAACTTTTTGTTTAAGCACATTGATTCCTTGGGGTTTTTCTACCTTTTCCTCTTTTTCCTTCCAAAACATAGCTTCTTACCACACATCTCTTCATTTTCTTTTACACTCATCCAGGTGTGGAGCAGACCAAGGCTACTATGACATTCAAATATAATCGGCAGAGTATGACCTTGTCCAGTGAGGTCCAAATTCCAGATTTGGACGTTGACCTTGGGACAATTGTCAGAGTTCATGATGAATCTACTAAGGGCAAAAAGTCTTACAGACTCACCCTGGACATTCAGAACCAGAAAATTACTGAGGCCGCCCTCATGGGCCACCTAAGGTAAGGAAGGCTGAGGGTCATCTAACCTGAGCTGCAGGCCTGGGTTGTTCTTTTTCTTATTCCTTTTCCACTCTACACCTGATCAAGCCATGTTTGTCCCTGGTCTACAATCAGAGCAGCAGATAGAGCCCTCAACACTTTTTTTTTTTTTTTTTTTTTTTTTTGGAGATGCAGTCTTACTCTGTCACCAGGCTGGAGTGCGGTGGCACAATATCAGCTCACTGCAAGCTCTGCCTCCCGGCTTCAAGAGATTCTCCTGTCTCACCCTCCCCAGTAAAAGCTGGGACTACAGGCATGTGCCACCATGCTTAGCTAATTTTTGTATTTTTAGTAGAGACGACGTTTTACCATGTTGGTCAGGATGGTCTCAATCTACTGACCTTGTGATCCACCTGCCTTGGCCTCTCAAAGTGCTGGGATTATAGGCGTGAGCCACCACACCCAGCCGAGCCCTCAACATTTTAATCCTCTGCACATGTCCAGTTGGATCTTCCTACCATTTATCAGGCACTTACTATTGATGTATCAAGCACAGTGTTGTGTGCTTTAAAGAAATTATCTTGGACCTCACGGTAAACTGCAAGATCAGTGTGAGTTTTCCTGTTTCACAGATAAGGAAATGGTAGCTCAGAGGGGTTAAATCATTTGGCCAAAGCCATAGAGCTAGTAAATAGCAGAGCAGGATTCAAACAGTTTTCAAAAGGCTTCTCTTTCTCCTAAACCTGCTTGCAAAGTCCTCAATTTGTGCTGAATGTTGGCTTTCGAAGTCAATGAGTTTGATCTATGGCTGTTTCTCTGAAGCATCTATATATCTGGTTTTGATCGCCACAAATGGAACTTCTGTTTAATCCTGCATATCTCCTTTGAAAGGACAAAATCATTAGTGCCAACTGATTTTCTTTCCCATAGTTGTGACACAAAGGAAGAAGGAAAAATCAAAGGTGTTATTTCCATACCCCGTTTGCAAGCAGAAGCCAGAAGTGAGATCCTCACTCACTGGTCGCCTGCCAAACTGCTCCTCCAAATGGACTCATCTGCTACAGCTTATGGCTCCACAGTTTCCAAGAGGCTAGCGTGGCATTATGGTATGTGTCTCTTTTCCTATGTGAGCACTTGCAAAGTAATGCAGGTGCTGAGAGCTGTGGTTACAGGCTGACCTCGTACCATTCATAACTATTTCCTATGTATTTTCAGATGAAGAGAAGATTGAATTTGAATGGAACACAGGCACCAATGTAGATACCAAAAAAATGGCTTCCAATTTCCCTAATATCCCTGATTTACTTGGGAGCTTGACTTTCATTGTCATTGGTCTCCTGAATACCAGAATTCCTCCAACAGACATGACTTTATGGTACATGGGTTCCAAATTAATAGATGTAAGTATGAGTCTGCCAGTCAATAAATACATGGGTATAAGTGCTAACTACATCCTCAACTCTGAGCTAGGTGCAGGAGGGTATCCAAAGATATATAAGGCATGCTCCCTGCCCCCAGGGAATTCTTGGGGAGGAAAAAAAAATTCACATGTGTAGTTACCCAGTTACACAAAGCTGAATGTGATACAAATCAAAGAAATTCTACTAAGCAAAACAGTTCTTTGCCTAGTGGTATCAAAGGAAGTTTCGGGACACTAGCTAGGAGGCTGACTATATTAGACATTCCTTTTGTAAATGTGGGCAGAGATCAGTGAGTGGCAACCAAGATTCATAATTTTCTGTGATTCATTTTTAACTTTCAGTGCATTGTCCTGCTTAATAATCAACTTATCAAATCTGGATTTTTGCCTAATATTTATTGCTCTCTGAGGCTCATCATGCCCATTACCTTAAAAATCTCCCATCATTTTGTAGACAACGGAGTCATGGCTTCAGCAGGCATCTGAGAGTCTTCCTTATGCCCAGACTTTGCAAGATCACCTCAATGGCCTGATGGAGTTGAACCTCCAGAACATGGAATGGCCAGACTTCGACATTCCAGAAAACCTCTTCTTAAAAAGGTAAAAGAAGAAACCAGCAAAGCTTCTTGAACCATGTGAAGTAAATGAAGGATTTTACATAGCGTGTTTTAGACATTTTAGATTTAAATTTTCAAGGGAAATAGTTTAAGCATTTTAAGGAGGTTACTAGCTATAGCAGAAACGCCATGGCATTTTTGCATTATTAAACATGCGAATGCCAACCCTGTCAGGAAGAATCTAAGAAAGTAATAGGATTCTGTTAGTTTCACCCTAAGATATTTTATTCAGTACAACTTGAATTGGAAAACCATTCAACTTTCTTCCATTACAAACAAATTCCCCCTCTGGCTGTGAAGAGTTCAGTATAGCTAGAGGCATTACTGACTACAGGTTTGCTGTTAAGCTACAGAGAGTCAGAACAGCCAATGAGCAGTAAATGGAAGTGGCATTCTAAGAAAATACTTTAACCCAGGCTTACTGACTTCCACACCTATCTTTCCACAAATCAAGTTGCCTCAATTCAGTTTAGCAAAATTGTATCAAGTGTCTTCTATGTGCAAAATGCTGGACTAGGTACAGTGAGAAGATAGAAACTGGATAAGGTATAGTCCTTTTGCTTAGGAAGATACCATGTAGACACCAACAAATGACAAATAATTAATTATATAAGCAAAATTATGACAGGTTCTTTGAGAAAGGTGCAAGGGACTATGTTACTGTAAGAATGAAACAAATTAGCTTTAACTTAGGTGGGATGATAATGATATGGAGTGGCTCTTAGAAGAGCTTTGTAAGGACTTGAGTGTTTGACAGGTGGAGGTAAAAGCAAACGAGTCCAGGCATAGGAGAAGCTCAAGGAAAAGTGCAGAGTGGCTTTGAGAATAGGGCAGGTACAATCTTTCTGTGAAGGTCAGAGGCAGAGAACTTTGAATGATCCATGTCTGACTATGGGGATGTTTTCTTTGTTGTTCATTTCAGCGATGGCCGGGTCAAATATACCTCGAACAAGAACAGTTTGAAAATTGAGATTCCTTTGCCTTTTGGTGGCAAATCCTCCAGAGATCTAAAGATGTTAGAGACCATTAGGACACCAGCCCTCCAATTCAAGTCTGTGGGATTCCATCTGCCATCTCAAGAATTCCAAGTCCCTACTTTTACCATTCCTGAGTTGTATCAACTGCAAGTGCCTCTCCTGGGTATTCTAGACCTCTCCACGAATGTCTACAGCAACCTGTACAATTGGTCTGCCTCCTACACTGGTGGCAACACCAGCACAGACCATTTCAGCCTTCGGGCTTCGTACCACATGAAGGCTGACTCTGTGCTTGACGTGCTTTCCTACAATGTGCAAGGTGAGCTATGCTCAGGTAAAGTGTGCATAGGGCGAGTCACTGCAGACTCTAAGAGGAGAGCCTCCTCCAGGGAGAAAAAGCTTGGGCTTTCTAACAGATAATCTTCCTTGCTACTTGGAAGTCTTTTCTTTTATTCAACAAATAGAAATATTTATTAAATATATCACATGTATTAAATATTGTAGTAGGCAGTAACAGAAAAAAGACAGATATGCCAGCAATTATAATTCAGTGTGAGAAGTGTGATGATAGAATGTAGTTTTTAAGCATAAGGTAGAGTGAAAGCACTCAGTAAAGGAAGGTAAACAAGGCCTGCGGTGGTCAGGGAAGGCTTCCTGGAGGCATGCCTTTTGCTATCGGATTTTATGTTTGCATTACAGATGGAGGAGTCTGTTGCACAGTTGGCCCAGAAAAATGTGACTTCATTATGAAAGACTTTTAACATACAGATTGCTTTGGAAATGTATTGCTTAATTTAAACAATCTTTTCATTTTTATGTTAGGATCTGGAGAAACAACGTATGACCACAAGAATACGCTCACACTATCATGTGATGGGTCTCTACGCCACAAATTTCTAAATTCAAATGTCAAATTCAGTCATGTAGAAAAAGTTGGAAACAACCCAGTCTCAAAAGGTTTACTAACATTTGACGCATCTAGTACCTGGGGACCACAGATGTCTGCTTCAGTTCATTTGGACTCAAAAAAGAAACAACATTTGTTAGTCAAAGAAGTCAAGATTGATGGGCAGTTCAGAGTCTCTTCGTTCTATGCTGAAGGCATATATGGCCTGTCTTGTCAGAGGGATCCTAACACTGGCCAGCTCAATGGAGAGTCCAACCTGAGGTTTAACTCCACCTACCTCCAAGGCACCAACCAGATAACAGGAAGATATGAAGATGGAACCCTCTCCCTCACCTCCACCTCTGATCTGCAAAGTGGCATCATTAAAAATACTGCTTCCCTGAAGTACGAGAACTATGAGCTGACTTTAAAATCTGACACCAATGGGAAGTATAAGAACTTTGCCACTTCTAACAAGATGGATATGACCTTCTCTAAGCAAAATGCACTGCTGCGTTCTGAATATCAGGCCAATTATGAGTCATTGAGGTTCTTCAGTCTGCTTTCTGGATCACTAAATTCCCATGGTCTTGAGTTAAATGCTGATATCTTGGGCACTGACAAAATTAATAGTGGTGCTCACAAGGCAACACTAAGGATTGGCCAAGATGGAGTATCTACCAGTGCAATGACCAGCTTGAAGTACAGTCCTCTGGTGCTGGAGAATGAACTGAATGCAGAGCTTGGCCTCTCTGGGGCATCTATGAAATTAACAACAAATGGCCGCTTCAGGGAACACAATGCAAAATTCAGTCTAGATGGGAAAGCCGCTCTCACAGAGCTATCACTGGGAAGTGCTTATCAGGCCATGATTCTGGGTGTTGACAGCAAAAATCTTTTCAACTTCAAGATCAGTCAAGAAGGACTTAAGCTCTCAAATGACATGATGGGCTCATATAAGGAAATGAAATTTGACCACACAAACAGTCTGAACATTGCAGGCTTATCACTGGACTTCTCTTCAAAACTTGACAACATTTACAGCTCTGACAAGTTTTATAAGCAAACTTTTAATTTACAGCTACAGCCCTATTCTCTGGTAACTACTATAAATAATGACCTGAAATACAATGCTCTGGATCTGACCAACAATGGGAAACTACGGCTAGAACCCCTGAAGCTGAATGTGGCTGGTAACCTAAAAGGAGCCTACGGAAACAATGAAATAAAACACATCTATACCATCGCTTATGCTGCCTTATCAGCAAGCTATAAAGCAGACACTGTTGCTAAGGTTCAGGGTGTGGAGTTTAGCCATCGGCTCAACACAGACATTGCTGGGCTGGCTTCAGCTGTTGACATCAGCACAAACTATAATTCAGACTCACTGCATTTCAGCAATGTCTTCCATTCTGTAATGGCCCCGTTTACCATGACCATTGATGCACATACAAATGGCAATGGGAAACTTGCCCTCTGGGGAGAACATACTGGGCAGCTGTATAGCAAATTCCTGTTGAAAGCAGAACCTCTGGCATTTACTTTCTCTCACGATTACAAAGGCTCCACGAGTCATCATCTCATGTCTAGGAAAAGCATAAGTACAACTCTTGAACACAAAGCCAGTGCCCTGCTTACTCCAGCTGAGCAGATGGGCACCTGGAAACTCAAGACCCAATTTAACAACAATGAATACAGCCAGGACTTGGAGGCTTACAACACTAAAGACAAAATTGGTGTGGAACTTAGTGGACGAGCCCTGGCTGATCTAACTCTACTAGACTCCCCAATTAAAGTGCCATTTTTACTCAGTGAGCCGGTCAATGTCATTGATGCTTTAGAGATGAAAGATGCCATTGAGACGCCCCAAGAATTTACGATTGTTGCTTTTGTAAAGTATGATAAAAACCAAGATGTTCATGCCATCAGTCTCCCATTTTCTGAACCCCTGCAAGAATATTTTGAGAGGAGTGTACAAACCGTTATAATTATACTGGATAACATGCAGAAAGGCCTGAAGAACATCAATATTAATCAATTTGTAAGAAAATACAGAGCAGCCCTGGGCAAACTCCCACAGCAAGTCGACGATTATCTGAATTCATTCAATTGGGAGAGACAAGTTTCACATGCCAAGGAGAAACTGACTGCTCTTACAAAAAAGTACAGAATTACAGAAAATGATATACAAATTGCATTAGATGATGCCAAAATCAACTTTAATGAAAAACTATCTCAACTGCAGACATATGTGATACAATTTGATCATTATATTAAAGATAATTATGATTTACATGATTTGAAAATAGCTATTGCTGATATTATTGATCGAATCATTGAAAAATTAAGAAGTCTTGATGAGGATTATCATATTCGTGTAAATTTAGTAAAAACAATCCACGATCTACATTTGTTTATTGAAAATATTGATTTTAACAAAATTGGAAGTAGCACTGCATCCTGGATTCAAAATGTGGATACTAAGTACCAAATCAGAATTCAGATACAAGAAAAACTGCAGCAGACTAAGAGACACATACAGAATATAGACATGCAGCACCTAGCTGGAAAGTTAAAACAATATGTTGAGGCTACTGATGTTAGAGTGCTTTTAGATCAATTGGGAACTACAATTTCATTTGAAAGAATAAATGACATTCTTGAGTATGTCAAATACTTTGTTATAAATCTTCTTGGGGATTTTGAAGTAGCTGAGAAAATCAATGCCTTCAGAACCAAAGTCCATGAGTTAATTGAGAGGTATGAAATAGACCAACAAATCCAGGTTTTAATGGATAAATCAGTAGAGCTGGCCCACCAATTCAAGTTAAAGGAGACTACTCAGAAGCTAAGTAATGTCCTACAACAAGTTAAGATAAAAGATTACTTTGAGAAATTGATTGGACTTATTGATGATGCTGTCAAGCAGCTTGATGAATTATCTTTTAAAACATTCATTGACAATGTAAACAAATTCCTTGACATGTTGATAAAGAAATTAAGGTCATTTGATTACCACCAGTTTGTAAATGAAACCAATAACAAAATCCATGAGGTGACTCAGAGACTCAATGGTGAAATTCAGGCTCTGGAACTACCACAAAAAGCTAAAGCATTGAAACTGTTTTTAGAGGACACCAAGGCCACAGTTGCAGTGTATCTGGAAAGCCTACAGGACACCAAAATAACTTTAATCATCGATTGGTTACAGGATGCTTTAAGTTCAGCATCTTTTGCTCACATGAGGGCGAAATTCCGAGAGACCCTAGAAGATACACGAGACCGAATGTATCAAATGGACATTCAGCAGGAACTTCAACGATACCTGTCTCTGGTAGGCCAGGTTTATAGCACACTTGTCACCTACATTTCTGACTGGTGGACCCTTGCTGCTAAAAACCTTACTGACTTTGCAGAGCAGTATTCTATCCAAGATTGGGCTAAGCGTGTGAAAGCATTGGTAGAGCGAGGGTTCACTGTTCCTGAAATCAAGACCATCCTGGGGACTATGCCTGCCTTTGAAGTCAGTCTGCAGGCTCTTCAGAAAGCTACCTTCCAGACACCTGATTTCATACTCCCCCTAACAGACTTGAGGATTCCATCAGTTCAGATAAACTTCAAAGAGTTGAAAGATATAAAAATCCCATCCAGGTTTTCCACACCAGAATTTACTCTCCTTAACACCTTCCACATTCCTTCCTTTACAATTGACTTTGTAGAAATAAAAGTCAAGATCATCAGAACCATTGATCAGATGCTGAACAGTGAGCTGCAGTGGCCTGTTCCCGAATTATATCTCAGGGATCTGAAGGTGGAGGACATTCCTCTAGCAAGAATCACCCTGCCAGACGTCCATTTACCAGAAATCACAATTCCAGAATTCATAATCCCAAATCTCAACCTTAGTGATTTTCAAGTTCCTGACCTTCACATACCAGAATTCCAGCTTCCCCACATCTCACACACAATTGAAGTACCTACTTTTGGCAAGCTGTATGGTATTTTGAAAATCCAATCTCCTCTTTTCACTTTAGACGCAAATGCGGACATTACAAAATGAAACCACTTCAGTAAACAAAGCAGGTATTGCAGCTTCCATCACTGCCAAAGGAGAGTCCAGATTAGAAGTTCTCAGTTTTGATTTTCAAGCAAAAGCACAACTCTCAGCCCCTAAGATTAATCCATTGGCTCTGAAGGAGTCCGTGAAGTTCTCCAGCAAGTACCTGAGAACAGAGCATGATAGTGAAATGCTGTTTTTTGGAAATGCTATTGAGGGAAAATCAAACACAGTGGCAAGTTTACACACAGAAAAAAATACACTGGAGCTTAGTAATGGAGTCATTGTCAAGACAAACAATCAGCTTACCCTGGATAGCAACACTAAGTACTTCCACAATTTGAACATCCCCAAACTGGACTTCTCCAGTCAGGCTGACCTGCGCAGCGAGGTCAAGACACTGTTGGAAGCTGGTCACATAGCATGGACTTCTTCTGGAAAAGGGTCATGGAAATGGGCCTGCCCTCAATTCTTGGATGAGGGAACACATGAATCACAAATTAGCTTCACCATGGAAGGACCCCTCACTTCCTTTGAATTATCCAATAAGATCAATAGCAAACACCTAATAGTAAACCAGAACTTGGTTTATGAATCTGGCTTCCTCAACTTTTCTAAACTTGAAATTCAATCACAAGTTGAATCCCAGCATGTGGGTCGCAGCATTCTAACTGCTAAAGGCACAACACTGTTTGGAGAAGGAAAGGCAGAGTTAACTGGGAGGCATGATGCTCATTTAAATGGAAAGGTTATCGGAACTTTGAAAAATTCTCTTTTCTTTTCAGCCCAGCCATTTGAGTTTACTATAACCACAAACAACGAAGGAAATTTGAAAGTTAGTTTTCCACTAAGGGCGACAGGGAAGATAGACTTTCTGAATAACTATGCACTGTTTCTGAGTCCCGGTGCCCAGCAAGCAGGTTGGCAAGTAAGTGCTAGGTTCAATCAGTATAAGTACAACCAAAATTTCTCTGCTGAAAACAACGAGAACATCATGGAGGCCCATGTAGGAATAAATGGAGAAGCCAATCTGGGTTTCTTAAACATTTCTTTAACAATTCCTGAAATGCTTCTACCTTACACAACAATCACAACTACCCCACTGAAAAATTTCTCTTTATGGGAAGAAACAGGCTTGAAGGAATTATTGAAAACAACAAAGCAATCATTTGATTTAAGTGTAAAAGCTCAGTATAAGAAAAACAAACACAAGCATTCCATCACAAATCCTTTGGCCGTGCTTTATGAGTTTATCAGTCAGAACATCAAATCCTTTGACAGGCATTTTGAAAAAGCCAGAAACAATGCATTAGATTTTGTCACCAAATCCTATAAGGAAGCAAAAATTAAGTTTGATAAGTACAAAGCTGAAAAATCTCACAATGAGCTCCCCAGGACCTTTCAAATTCCTGGATACACTGTTCCAGTTGTCAATGTTGAAGTGTCTCCAATCACCACAGAGATGTCGGCATTCGGCTATGTGATCCCAAAAGCAGTCAGCATGCCCAGTTTCACCATCTCAGGTTCTGACATCCATGTGCCTTCATATACATTAACCCTGCCATCCTTAGAGCTGCCAGTCCTTCAAGTTCCTAGACATCTCAAGCTTTCTCTTCCAGATTTCAAGGAATTGTGTACCATAAGCCATTTTTTTATTCCTGCTATGGGCAACATTACCTATGATTTCTCCTTTAAATCAAGTGTCATCACACTGAATACCAATGCTGAACTTTTTAATCAATCAGATATTGTTGCTCATCTCCTTTCTTCATCTTCATCTGTCATTGATGCACTACAGTACAAACTAGAGGGCACCACAAGATTGACAAGAAGAAGGGGGTTGAAGTTAGCCACAGCTCTGTCTCTGAGCAACAAATTTGTGGAGGGTAGTCATAACAGTACTGTGAGCTTAACCAAGAAAAATATGGAAGCATCAGTGGTAACAGCCGCAAAAGTCCAAATTCCAATTTTGAGAATGAATTTCAAGCAAGAACTTAATGGACATACCAAGTCAAAACCTACTATCTCTTCCTTCATGGAATTTAAGTATGATTTCAATTCTCCAATACTGTACTATACTGCTAAAGGGGCAGTTGACCATAAACTCAGCTTGGAAAGCCACACCTCTTACTTTTCCATTGAGTCATCTACCAAAGGAGATGTCAAGGGTTTGGTTCTTTTTCGGGAATATTCGGCAACTATTGCCAGTGAGGCCAGCACTTACTTGAATTCCAAGAGCACACGGTCTTCAGTGAAGCTGCAGGGCACTTCTAAAATTGATGATATCTGGAACCTTGAAGTAAAAGAAAATTTTGCTGGAGAAGCCACTCTCCAACGTATATATTCCCTCTGGGAGCACAGTACAAAAAACCGCTTACAGCTAGAGGGCCTCTTTTTCACAAATGGAGAACATACAAGCAAAGCCACCCTGGAACTCTCTCCATGGGAAATGTCAGCTCTTGTTCAGGTCCATGCAAGTCAGCCCAGTTCCTTCCTTGATATCCCCTACCTTGGCCAGGAAGTGGCCCTGAATGCTAACACTAAGAACCAGAAGATCAGATGGAAAAGTGAAGCCCGGGTTCATTCTGGGTCTCTCCACAGCCGTGTCGAGCTTTCCAATGACCAAGAAGAAGCACACCTTGAATTTGCAGGATCCTTAGAAGGACACCTAAGGTTCCTCAAAAATATCATCCTACCAGTTTATGACAAGAGTTTATGGGACTTCCTAAAGCTGGATGTAACAACCAGCTTGGGTAGGAGACAGCATCTTCGTGTTTCAACTGCCTTGGTGTACACCAAAAACCCCAATGGCTATTCATTCTCCATCCCCGTAAAAGTTTTGGCTGATGAATTCATTATTCCTGGACTGAAACTAAATGATCTAAATTCAGTTCTTGTCATGCCTGCATTCTATGTCCCGTTTACAGATCTTCAGGTTCCATCCTACAAACTTGACTTCAGAGAAATTAAAATGTATAAGAAGCTGAGAACCTCATCATTTGCCCTCAGCCTACCAACACTCCCCAAGGTAAAATTCCCTGAAGTTGATGTGTTAACAAAATATTCTCAACCAGAAGACTCCTTGGTTCCCTTTTTTGAGATAACTGTGCCTCAATCTCAGTTAATTGTGTCCCAGTTCACGCTTCCAAAAAGTGTTTCAGTTGGCGGTGCTGTTTTGGATCTAAATGAGGTAGCCAAGAAGATTGCTGACTTTGAGTTGCCCACCATCATCATGCCTGAGCAGACTATTGAGATTCCTTCCGTTAAGTTCTCTGTCCCTGCTGGAATTTTCATTCCTTCCTTTGGAGCACTGACTGCACGATTTGGGGTAGCCTCTCCCCTGTATAATGCCACTTGGAGTGCCAGTTTGAAAAACAAAACAGATCATCTTGAAACAGTCCTGGATTCCACATGCAGCTCAACCATACAGTTCCTGGAATATGACCTAAATGGTAAGAAATATCCTGCCTCCTCTCCTAGATACTGTGTGTTTTCAATGAGAGTTATGAGTAAATAATTATGTATTTAGTTATGAGTAGAGATACAATTACTCAATATCACAAAATTTTGATATGTGTATGTGTATACCCCACATGTAAAAACCAAATTGTAGAAAATCTAGTGCCATTCAAGACAAACAGCTTTAAAGAAAATGGATTTTTCTGTAATTGTTTTAGGACTAACAATGTCTTTTAACTATTTATGTTAAAACAACTGTGAGCTGTACATTGCATATTTTAAACATAAGTAAAGTATCTGGTTAGGATAGAATTCTCCTAGTTTTCACAATGAAAATATTTGCATCCTATTGTTTTGAATCTAATAAAATATAAAATCTCTCTTATACAGTTGTGGAAACACTCAAGATCAAAGATGGTAGGTTAACCTGTAAGACTAAAGGAACATTTTCACACCGTGACTTCAGCGCAGAATATGAAGAAGATGGCAAATATGAAGGACTTATGTATGGAGCTTTTATTGAAACCTTATCCCTTTTGAAAATTCATTGTGATTTTCAACATCTCCATGCCCCTTTTGTGATGGCTCATCTGTTTTTCTGCTTTCAGAGAGTGGGAAGGAAAAGTGCACCTTAATATCAAAAGCCCAGCGTTCACTGATCTCAATCTCCACTACCAGGAAGACGAAAAAGGCCTCTCCATCTCAGCAGCCTCCCCAGCCATAGGCACCATGGGCATGGATGTGGACGAAGATGATGATTTTTTTAAATGGAACTTCCACTACAGCCCTCAGGTGAATACCACCTAATGCATGACACATCCCCAAGAGCGAGTTGAGAATGGGGGCAGATACATTTCATTCAGGACCAAATATTCATTCAGAGATCCCCCAAACTAAGTGAAAGGCAGGCAGTAAGCAGCTTCTTCTCTGATGAAATATTCTTTAGAAAGTATTACAATGAGTCCTTGACTGATTTTAATTTTTAGATGCACATTTAGTGCATCATATAGCACTATTATTGATTATTTAGATGCACATGACATCACATAGCACTATTATTTATTAATTCTGGGCAAATCCAGAAAGATAGGGGTTATACCTCATCACCCAAATCACAGGCAAGCTCAGCATAGGCAGGGTGTATTTTTCACAGAGTGGTGGTTTCTGGAGTAGTGAAAACTTTAAAATTCTTCCCCATAATAGAATTGCTATATTAGACACATCAAATTCCTCTCACGTCATTTGCAAGCTCTGCCAGGGCCAAATCAAGGATTTCCTAACTCTTCTTCTCTCTCCTCTTCTTCCTCTTCCCCCTCCTCCTCATGGCCAGTTTTCAGTCCCAGGAAGGCTTTAATGTTAAGTGTCACAGTGTAAATGTCAAACGCCAAGCATTTTTTATCCTTTCTTGGGCATGTGATAAAGAGAAATTAACAACAGTAGACTTATTTAACCATAAAAAAAAACCATGAACTGACATATGAAAGATAAATCCCTTTCGGTATATGAAAGATTCTCTGATCTTTATTTTTAGCTGCTAATGAAGTTTTCGTGTACTGTATTATATAATTGGAGTAATTGAAAACATGTTCTTTTCTTTTTGTTTATTTATTTATTTGCTGTATTTAGTCCTCTCCAGATAAAAAATTCACCATATTCAAAACCGAGCTGAGGTACCAGGAATCTGATGAGGAACTTCAGATCAAAGTTAATTGGGAAGAAGAGGCAGCTTCTGGCTTGCTAACCTCTCTGAAAGACAGTGTGCCCAAGGCCACACAGGCCCTTTATAACTATGTCAACAAGTACCACAGGGAGCACACGGGGCTCACCCTGAGAGAAGCATCTTCAAAGCTGAGAAGAAATCTGCAGAACAAGGCTGAATGGGTTTATCAAGGGGCCACTAGGCAAATTGATGACATGGACATGTGGTTCCAGAAAGCAGCCAGTGGTACCACTGGGAACTACCAAAAGTGGATTGACAAGGCCCAGAATCTGTACCAGGAACTGTTGACTCAGGAAGCCCAAGCCAGTTTACAGGAATTCAAGGATAAGGTGTTTGACAGCTTGATACGAGTTACTCAAGAATTCCGTATGAAAGTCAAGCATCTGATTGACTCACTCATTGATTTTCTAACATTCCCCAGGTTCCAGGTCCCAGGGAAACCTGGGACATACACTAGAGATGAACTCTGCACTATGGTCATAAGGGAGGTAGGGATGGTACTGTCCCAGGTGTATTCAAAAGTCCATAATGGTTCAGAAATACTGTTTTCCTATTTCCAAGACCTAGTGATTAAACTTCCTTTTGTGTTAAGGAGCCAGAAAGTAATAGATATAATCTTGATATGCAGGGAACAGTTAAAAGATTTATCAAAAGAAGCCCAAAACGTATTCGAAAACATGCAGTCTCTAAAGACCACAGAGGTGCTACATGATCTTCAGCAGCTTTTACAATTCATTTTCCAACTAATAGAAGCAGACATTAAAAAGCTGAAAGAGATAAAACTTACTGAACTTACTAAACATATCCGAGACGACATCAACATCATCTTCAATGATTATATCCCATTCTTTTTTAAATTATTGAAAGAAATCCTATGCCTTAATCTATATACGTTCAATGAATTTATTCAAAACAACCTTCAGGAAGCTTCTCAAGAGTTACAGCAGATCCATCAATACGTTATGGCCCTTCGTGAAGAATATTTTGATCCAAGTGTAGTCGGCTGGACAGTGAAATATTATGAACTTGAAGAAAAGATAGTCAGTCTGATCAAGAACCTATTAGTTGCTCTTAAGGACTTCCATTCTGAATATACTGTCAGTGCCTCTGACTTTGCTTCCCAACTCTCGACTCAAGTTGAGCAATTTCTGCACAGAAATATTCAGGAATATCTCAGCATCCTTACTGATGCAGATGGAAAAGGGAAAGAGAAGATTGAAGAGCTTTCTACCACTGCTCAGGAAATAATTAAAAGCTGGGCCATTGCAATGAAGGCAATCATTTCTGATTACCACCAGCAGTTTAGGTACAAACTCCAAGATTTTTCAGACCAACTCTCTGATTACAATGAAAAATTTATTGCTGAGTCCAAAAGACTGATTGACCTATCCATTCAAAACTACCACACATTTCTGAGATATATCACAGAGTTATTGAAAAAGTTGCAGTCAACCACAGTCATGAACCCGTTTATGAAGCTTGCTCCAGGAGAACTTACTATCATCCTCTAATTTTTTTAAAAGCAAAAGCAATATTCATTTATTCTTCTGTTCCAGTTGAACTTTTACAAAGCAGGGAAAAAATTCAAACTGCACATATTGATAAAACCATTCAGTGAGCTAGCCCTGCAGTAGGTAGTAGACTACAAGCAGAAGCACAGATGAACTCGACCTGCACCAAAGCTGGCATTTTTGCAAGTTGAAGAAAATCAAGATCTGAGTTATTTTGCTAAACTTGGGGGAGGAGGAACAAATAAATGGAGTCTTTATTGTGTAACATACCACTCAGTGTGGCTCTTTTGTATTGAAAGACAGTGAAACAAGGGCATTGATGCAAATGTTCTGGCATTGCAAAACCTCTAGAACATGTAGTGTGATTTAAGCAACAGAGTAAAAACGGAAAGGGAGAAATTGTGGAGGGAAATATGTTGCCACCTAAAAAGAAGAGGTAATTGATCTCAGGAATTGTATTTGCCAAGTGAGAAGGGAAAAGTATTCACAAAGGCTTGTACATACTTTGATCCTGAGAAACACCTTGTGTGTCTTCATGCATCACATAGTCTTCCTCACTGACAGTCTGCCTTTGCCAGGCAATGTTCTCTGGTAGGCTTTGAAATAAAACAACGGGTCCTTTATTTCACTCAGCCTGCCAGAAGTGGAGAAGGAATAGCTAGGGAGTCCTAGCTCCAAGGGCTTCATGGCAATAGGGACCCCAGACATCTCCCTGCAGCTCTGCCAGCCAGGATCCTTTCAAGGCAGAGGAAGTATGAGAGGGAGAGGAGGGGTGGAGATGTCGATTGCTAACAATTCTGTGACACAGCATACATGCATGCTCTTTAGGCTCTTAAGCAACCTTATTTTTTTCAAATGTAATATCCAACAATCCCAAGTATAATAAAAACCCAAGGGTTGACCGGGCACAGTGGCTCACGTCTGTAATCCCAGCACTTTGGGAGGCTGAGGGAGTTGGATCACCTGAGGTCAGGAGTTTGAGAACAGTCTGACCAATAGGGTGAAACCCTGTCTCTACTAAAAATACAAAAATTAGCCAGGTGTGATGGCCGGTGCCTGTAGTCCCAGCTACTCGGGAGGCTGAGACAAGAGAATTGCTTGAACCCAGGAGGGTGAGGTTGCAGTGAGCAGAGATCATGCCACTTCACTCCAGCCTGAAAGACAGAGTGAGACTCTGTCTCGAAACAAAAACAGAAACAAAAACAAAACAAGGGTTTCTCCTGCCACATCCACTCACTTCAAACTCTGATTTTAAACATTGGCAATGTCCAATCAGAGCCTCCAAGCTGAGCTCTAGAAAGAGAAAGCTGCAAAAAAAAACTGTGCAATATAACTTGCACTCATATCACTGACAAGGGTAGCTACAAAACAGCATGTTCTTTTCCATGACACTGAAGACTGAAGGAAGAGCGTAACTTGAGAGCAATGAGGAATTGGAGGTCATTACCTTCCAAATCCTATATGGGGTCTGTTTGAAAAAGACCCCCTTTTTTAATTCAAAAATTCTTCCACCTCCAACATTCTTTCATAAAGCTTCACATTCTCTTGGTAAAGCCCACTGTTAAAATGCACAGGTGTCACCTGGAAAAGGAAACACATATCTTTAACAATAGTCTTCTATCCTGAACTGAAGAGTAAGAAAGAGTCTAGGGAGCTATAATACATGGTAGCATATGAATCTGGTACTTGAGGGAAGTATGTTGGATGATGAATGGGTGGATGAATGGATGGATGGATGGATGGATGGATGGATCTATGGATGGATGAGGGAACTAATGAATATACAGATAAATGAGCCGTCAGTTTTGAGAGTGAGAGAGACGTGCAAATTAGACCCAAAGCCCAGGTCACCACATAGAATAGTTCTGTGAGAGTTTCCCTGATAAGCTATAAGCGGCAAGCATCTAGTGAGTGTTCAAACTGAAAGGAGGCCTGGAATTGTGCTTAATTTGGAGGGAAGAAGGGAGTTCAAGATTCTTAGTGCTCATTTGTTGATATCTATCCAGGACTGAAAGGAAGAAAAAATAGCCACAAATTCAAAATGATTGTGCAGTCACACAGTGCCCAATGCCCAGTTCCTGGACCAATGTCCCACATACAAAGGGCCTCTGATGAGCTCAGAATGTCTTTGTTGTGCTGAATGAAGTTGGAAGAAGAAGGGATCCTTGTAGGGGCTTGGACTTTACCTGCTCCCTTCTTTGATCTTCTACTGCATATCTGGATACTTCTCTGGGTGTGATTAATAGCTACATTTTTTATTTCCTTGTACTTTGGGCAACTTATTTTACCTCTGCAAGCCTCAGTTCTCTTACCTATGAAAAGGAGATAATATCTATCCTGCCTGCCTTGCAGGACTTTCCATGAAAATCAGTTGAAATAACATATGTGAAAGTTTTGTAACCTTTAATGTCATGTGGAAACAAAGTGCCATTATCATTAGATGATTATTAAAATGAGGTTATGGGAAGAAGAAAGAATGGAGGCTGGGCTGGATGTCCAGTTCATAGAAGAGATGAAGATCAGTAAGATGCAGTTCCTGGATGTCTGTCTGCCCATTTGTCCATCAAAGGTGAAATGTGTTGTCTCATGATGGATATAAACAAAGTATTATGGGGGATTTAAAAGAGAAGAAGTTGTGGATCGGGATTTTTGTAGAAAAGGTTGAAATGGATTTCAAATATACACAGACTTTAGTAAACAGTTAAAGGAAAAAGGGCAGTCTAGGAAGAAGATGCGTCAAGAAAGGTAGATAGGTGTGTTTTTAGGACACTGGATTGTCTAGTTTAGCCAAAACACAGAAAGGTAAGAAGGAGACAGGATTGGAAAGGCAGATCTGTAGTACTGCAGAGGGCTTGAATATCAGAGTGAAAAGATGATACTCTGTTTGCTGAAGGACAATCCAATGACAGTTTTTGGGCAGAATGGCGATATGCATTGTGATTTAAGAAAACCAATATGACAACATACGGATAATGACTTATAATGGGGTGAATCTGGATATTAATGTATTAGTCCATTGTAGCATTGCTATAAAGAATACTGAGACTGGGTAATTTAAAAAGAAAAGAGGTTTAATTGGTTCATGCTTCCTCAGGCAGTACAGGAAGCATGACAGGGGAGGCTTCTGGAAACTTATAATCATGGCAGAAGGCAAAGGGTAAGCAGGCATGTCCTACATGCAGGAAGTGGGGGGAGGTGCTACATACTTTTAAATAACTGGATTGCATGATAACTCACTCACTATCATGAGAACATCACCAAAAGGGAAATCCGCCCCCCTGATCCAGTCACCTCCCACCAGGCCCCACCTCCATCATTGGGGATTACAATTTGACATGAGATTTGGGTGGGGACACAGACCCAAACCATAGGTTGTACCGGGGTCCAAGTAACAGGTGAGGAGCACCTCAGTCACCCTAGGGTTGGGAATGGTGATGAGGGTAGGATAAAAGAAGATTGGGGTGGTGGAATTGACAGAATCAGGTGTCTGATTGAGTAAAACCCAAAGGACGGGTGCAAAAATGCTTAGAAATGGAACTGCCTTGGTAAGTCACTGGAGCCAGGAGTTGAAGGGGTTGCAGAAGAGAGAGAACAAAGACGAATGGGTAAAGCAGACTTCAGAGTTAGGAAATTCTGAACCTGTGCAACTTGAAGGACTATGGGGCCTCAGTAGAAATGGGAGGAATGTGTTGAGGAGGAGATTATTAGCATAAGGCGTGGACTTATCAGTATCACAGCTGGAATGGGAGTACGGGATCACATGTGAGTTTCCTTTTGCAATGATGTATCTAAGCAGAGATATCTAGCAGGCCAGTTGGAAATGCGGGCTAGAGGAACAATATCCAAAGGAGCAGGGACAAAGGAGAATTTTAACCAATAATTGCAATAATTTTATGTTTGTATAATTATCTTTAGAAACTTAACAAGAAAACAAAGAGCTTTTCCTTTTGTACAGTTATTTTCCTGGGAATAAGTCAACAGGTACATCTGCTAAGAACATACTGTGAGGTGACGTGGAAAGTCCTGCTATAAACACAGATATTCCTCCCATTAAACAAATATCTAAAATTTTCAACCAAAGGAGAAATCAAATAATGGAGCCCTGCCCAGGCCCCTAGGGCTTCAGAGGCATGATCAAGCTGTGTGCTTTGGTTTGACTCCCAGGTCCCGCCTAGAGTAGTGGTGCTGTCCTCAGGATAAGCCTTCCAAAAAAAATGGGTCCAATGGGACTCAGCACCACCAGGTGCCTTCAGACCTACCTCCATTCACCTCTGCTTTTCACCTGAAGGCTGGTCAGTTGAACAGCTCAAATCCCCTTTTTTGGTGAGTTGAGCAAAGCCCCCTGCAATTCCCTATTCTAGGTCCCCTTCTGACTAATTTATGACTTAGTCCCAATTCAGTCAGAGAAGGGGCCAAGCTGGCCCTCAAATGGGGCCTGCAATATGGGAGCCAGAGTGGACAAACAGATGTTCCCTCTAAAAGTGTCTAATAACCAGAGATAAATGTGCAGAAACAGACCCTACCTCTTAGCTCATCTCCTTGTATGCTGTTTCACATTAAGAGGTCAGCTACAACTCCCTTCAGAGTGCTCCATTTGTTGGTGGGATGGTTGGGTGGTCACCAACAAATAACATTCCAGGGCCTCATAAAAGTTGGTGGAGTAGGTGCACATGTTTCCACAAGGAGAGGGCCCTGCCTTTCTCCTCCTACGTAGACCAGCTCCTGCCTTCCCCAGGTCTGAGCAGTGCTTCCGGTCAACAGTGCCGGGGCACTAGGTGCTAAGCACTGACACTTGTGTTGATTTTACTCCCTGTACTGACACCACCAAAGCCCATTCTTTGAGGGATGACTCAGGCCTTGAAGTGGACTGATTCATGAACTGCAGACCTGTGTCCCCACCCTTGTTTTTAAACTGTGGCTTGGGCTGTCTGCTCTGCAGCATGAACAACAAACCACAGTGAGCACAGGCATCCAGAGTTTAGACTCTAACCCAGAAACCGTGCCGAAGGAAAGCACAGCTGGACCAATAGCCCAGCTCCACCAATTCCCTCTCCATTCCTCTGTTTTTCCATCATCGAGGCTGGTGCCAAGGTCTTTCTAGAGTAATGAAGGTCAGCACAGCTCCAGAAGACCTAAAGCCCTTGCACTGGGACTGGGCTAGCTGGGTTGGAGCTAGGGTCATGGAACAGTTTCTAATCACATGGGATGTTGGATCATCATGGAAAGAACACTAAAGAGAGCCGACTGCTGCCCTGTAGCTCTGTTGAGC